GATCCCTTAGGGCTCAATAAGGTCCAGGGACCCCATAAGACGATTTTGCGTTTAATAATGCAAGAAGAGTAATGTAAAGGCAAATCTAAATTAGTTATACAAGCTTCAATGTTAATTTTATAAATTTTATTTGAGGTACATTTTTTGGTGAAGGGGCCCTATTTTGGAGTTCGCCTCGGACCACCGAAATCTCAGGGCCTGTTGAAAGGCCATATTGCAATTATTCTAAATCTAAAATTGCAATTATTAATGATGCTTTGAAAGGCAGGGCCTAGGCAGACTAGGCGACCGCGTAGGGCCCTCTAAGGTACACCGCCCCTATAAGACGATTTTGCATCTAAGAATGCAAATCTAAATTACTTATACAAACTTTAATGTTAATTTTATAAATTTCATTTGAACTACTTTTTTTGTGAAGGGGCCCCATTTCGGAGTTCGCCTCGGACCCCCGAAATCTCAGGGCCGGCCCTGTTGAAAGGCCATATTGCAATTATTCTAAGTCTAAAATTGCAATTAGTAATAACGCTTTGAAAGACCATATTGCAATTATTAATGATGCTTTGAAAGGCAGGGCCCAGGCAGACTAGGCAGCTACCTAGGGCCCCCAAGGTCCAGAGCCCCCATAAGATGATATATTTAAATGCAAATCTAAATTAGTTATACAAGCTTTAATGTTAATTTTATAAATTCCATTTGAGCTACTTTATTTTACGGGGGGGGGCTATTTCGTAGCTCACCTCGGACCCCCGAAATCTCAGGGCCGGCCCTGTTGGAAGGCCATATTGCAATTCATTCTAAGTCTAAAATTGCAATTATTAATGATGCTTTGAAAGGCAGGGCCTAGGCAGACTAGGCAGCCACCTAGGGCCCCCGAGGTCCAGGGCCCCCATAAGACAATGTAAATGCCAATCTAAATTAGTTATCCAAGCTTTAATGTTAATTTTATAAATTCCATTTGAGCTACTTTATTTTGCGAATGGGCCCTATTTCAGAGCTCGCCTGGGACCCCGAAAACTCAGGACCGGCCCTACCATTGATACTTGCTAATTCCTCGTTTCCCAGAGGTACCCACCTCCAGAGCCCCAAATATAGGAAATCATCAGAACTCTAACAGAATAAACATCAGAAAAGATATTGAAACACCCAAAGAACCAAAAGTAAATGGTATTCCTCCACGACCTTGGCGAGCTTATTAATTTTTAATTTCCTATACAACGCATCATTCCTACGTCTGCAGGTACATTATTGCCATCCCAAGCCAGTTCGCATTCTTTCCAATCGGTTTATGCACACTGCCCCAACCACCTTCCACTCCAGGAGGTGGTTGGCAGATATGTAAATGTATTTTCCTCTCTGTCAAAAGGAAAAAAAGAAGGTTCATTATTAGAACTGGCTGATTACACTTTCCGATGAGTGTCATTGCTAAGGAACGTATACTTCCTTGGGCATACCGAGGCAAGGTTGTCGAGGTCAGCTTTTATGATGTAGATACGGTTCTGTGACATTGACAATGAGGTTTAATCTCGTGGTATCGAGTTACACTTGCTGGCCAGTCTAGGCCAGATGCGATTAACGTGACTTACCAGATTCACAAATACCAGCGAGCTAATTGACGCTGATTCGCTACAGCCTTTCAAGGCCGTCACTGATAATTAGTTCTGCTCGGATCACCGGCGCAATTATGAATTAATTGGATCAATGTGCCTTTTATTCCTACCTCTTCGAGCACATACGTACTTCGATATAAATAAGAATATCCATCGTGTTCCAATAATAATGGTTAATTGAAAACGTAGCAAATATAGATGGCGGGGTTGGATAAGCGGATGATATAAATAAACGAGCAACAGATATCGCTTTTCTTCGGATAAACTGTGCTCCTTCCACCGTTCTGATCCCGAGTGGAATAGTAATCGTTAATTCTGTCGCCAGTTTATTTATGTTATCTGTTGATAAGCGTGTCCCTTGCTGTTAGATGGCATTTAATGTATCATAGAATTAAATAACTTTTTTTTTTTATTAAAAAATAATAAGTTATTAAATAACGATGCTTTATGTAGGTGATAAGAATAATTATCGTTTCCGCAGATGAGAAACTCTTCCTCCTTAGATTAAACGTGGAAAAAAATGTTTTCTTTATTATCTCCAATGATATTTAAATGCACAGCACGAAACCCTATGTAATGATAATTTTGGAACTGCCTGGCTGCACCGTTTCTTTAAATTTAACGATGTTTCTCTGATAAAGCGTAATCTTATCGCATCCATCGAATCCCTGCTTGTTTTCAACGTTACGTAACGAAGCAGCAGGTGTAAGATTTTAAACGAAATTCTGTTATTGCTTCCGACAGATTCGATTTCATTAATATGATCAATTGAGAGCATAATGGTGATCAATTAATCGAATCAAAACCAAGGAGGAACTGGAGATAATGTGTTATTAGTTTCTTGTAATTATAACGTGTTACAGATTGATTTAATGATCCTTCAGAAGGTTCTAAGAATTTCTATTACAGCAAGGAAAGTTTGAAAAATTTCTTCATATTTCTAATTCCCCCTGTTCAGATAATTTAATATCGTTTCATAATTTTACTCTGATATTCATAATTATAATTTTTTGATATTAATAGATATTTTTAATAATTAATTTATTAATCATACCATTGAAATTATTTGAACAATTGATACAAATTCAAGGTTTAAATGAAATAAAATATAATAATTGCTCCTTCTTTGATTTTTTGTTAATTTAACTAATATTAGTTAATCTTAGTTAATATTTATTAATCCTTCCTTAAAAATTTTATATTTTATAGATAAATGATGAAATTTAATTTTTGGAGATAACTTGGTGATTATCGATGAAAGTCAGATGGATAGAAAAAGCGCGGGAATTTTTGAAGCTTAAAAGATCGTCGGTCAATATGTCGTAGCAATGTCATTGTTGGTACCCCCGGGAGACCGTCCACCTATCGTACACAGAACACCCATCCAGGTTCGCAATTCGCGAGCCCAGAGAGGAGGGGGAGATACTGTTCGATCTAGCCCGTCTCTAGTAGAACGCATGCCAGTCATTGGTCGGTTTGCTCTATGCGGTGGGCGGAGATAGGCGTATGGGAGTACTAAACCGAGCCATGGTGTCCCTTTTTTCTATCCCTTTCTCACCCCCTCCCTCGATTCTCTCGCTCCCACCACGAGCCTACGCTCCCCTCCCTCTCTCTTTCATTCACTCCTTCCCCCTCTCCTCAACCTTCTCCCTCCCCTCCGCTTAGACGATGGGCATTCAATTCTCCAACTTGTGCAAGATATTAAACGCACAAACTTATCGAATTAACCGGTGAAATTATGGGAAAAATTATCGTAAATAATTATTAATAACTGAAACTCGTACTCTGAGATTTTGTATGATCATAGCACCAAGGTTTAAATGAAGTAAAATATAATAAAAATTGCTGCTTCTTTGATTTTTTGTTAACTTAACTAATATTAGTTAAAGATGAAAAAAATCAAGGAGAAAGTAATTTTTATTATATTTTATTTTATTGGAAATCATACTCTGAGATTTTGTGTAATCATAGCACCAAGGTTTAAATTAAATAAAATATAATAAAAATTACTCCCTCTTTGATTTTTTTCATCTTTAACTAATATTAGATAAGTTAACAAAAAATCAAAGAGGGAGCAATTTTTATCATATTTTATTTCATTTAGACCTTGGTGCTATAATTATACAAAATCCCAGAGTATGATTTTCAATTATTAATAATTTCAGTAAGTTAACTTTTTATAATAATTTTTCCCATAATCTCACCTATTAATTTTATAAGTTTATAAGTTATATTATATTATATTTTATTTTATTTCATTTAGACCTTGTGCTATGATTACACAAAATCTCAGAGTATGATTTTCAATTATTAATAATTTTTTATGATAATTTTTCCCATAATTTCCCCTGTTAATTTGATAAATTTATAAGTTATATTATATTTAATTTATTTAATTTAGACCCTGTGCTATGATTACACAAAATCTCAGAGTATGATTTTCAATTATTAATAATTTCAGCAAGTTTCCATTATTCTATTCTTATTCTTATTTTCTTTTAAATTTGAATTTCCACTCTCGCCAATCGAGATGGTTGTGCGCACGAGAAGAGCTTGAAAATGGAGTATCCTAGGAGGAGTTCAGTTGCATTGCCGGTTGCTTGCAGCGGCTGGATGCTTCTCGGGCTGCAACCGAAGGCTAATACACCTTCAGGCAGGTCCTTTTTCCTTCGTTCGTGCTTCTCGTTCCCGCAGGACAGGATTGACCAGTTCTCCAGCGATGCATGCTCGCAGGATATTCAAATGCACCGAGCCAATGTCTTTCTGCCTTTCCTTCGTCGCTCGTTGCCTTTGTTTCTTGCGTACTTTCCAAGGAAAATCTTAGTTCAATTAATCATAAACGCAGATAGTATTTCTGCAAGGAGAAACTGGAATGGATGGCAGGCAGCTACCGCCATTTTATTTTTCACCGAAGCTGCGTCCAGTATTCATTTATATTTGATTTGTATCCAAAATGGAGGCAGTTAATTCTACCTGTTCCTCTTAACGAAGGTCAATTCGTTCTCAACGGGTCAACTCGATTATCATGCTCCAGTTGGCAATCCTATTTTCTTCAGATTGTATCTTCATGGCACACCGTGCCATTAATCCTCGACTGGAAACTGAACGTTCAGCACTGTCTCTTTTAACACTTTATTTCCAGTAACTGGAGAGTAATTATTAAATCTTTGATTATCTATAATTATGAAGTAATAATTGCTTTTTTTATGTCATGTGCGAAGGGGCCCCGTTTCGGACCCCTGAAATCTCAGGGCCATATTGCAATTATTCTAAATCTAAAATTGCTATTATTAATGATGCTTTGAAAGGCCATATTGCAATTATTCTGAATCTAAAATTGCAATTATTAATGATGCTTTGAAACCAGGGCCGGCCCTGGGCCTAGGCAGACTAGAGCCCCCCAAGCTCCAGGGCCCCCATAAGACAATTTTGCGTTTAAGAATGCAAGAAGAGTAATGTAAATGCAAATCGAAATTAGTTATACAAACTTTAATGTTAATTTTATAAATTTTATTTGAAGTACTTTCTTTTATGTCAGGGGCCCTTTTTCGAGCTCACCTCGGACCCTCGAAATCTCAGAGCCGGCCCTGTGGAAAGGCCATATTGCAATTATTCTAAATCTAAAATTGCAATTATTAATGATGCTTCGAAAGGCAGAGCCGACCCTGGGCCTAGGCCCCCCAAGGTCCAGGGCCCCCATATGCCGGTTGCGTCTAAAAATGCAAGAATGTTTACTTGAATATTAATCTAAATTAGTTATACAAGCTTTAATGTTAATTATATAAATTTTATTTGAAGTACTTTCTTTTATGTCAGGGGCCCTTTTCCGAGCTCACCTCGGACCCCCGAAACTTCAGAGCCGGCCCTGCTAAGCCATATTGCAATTATTCTAAATCCAAAAGTGCAATTATTAATGATGCTTTGAAAGGCAGGGCTGGCCCTGGGCCTAGGCCCCCAAGGCCCAGGACCCCCATAAGACGATTCTACGTCTAAGAATGCAATAAGTGTAATGTTTACTTGAATATTAATCTAAATTAGTTGTACAAGCTTTATAAATTTTATTTGAGTTACTTTTTTTTTACGTCAGGGCCCCCTTTTCGGAGCTCTCCCCGGACCCCCGAAATCTCAGGGCCGGCCTTGCCATTTTAATTCTGCAATTCTTAATTATAATACACCCAATTTGTATTATTTCAACTGAGTTACAAATAAATCAACAACAATCAAAGGTTGATGATATTAAAAATTATTAATAAATTTTCAATAAATAAAGCATTAAAAGAGACAGTACTCCTCCTAGTCTTCCATTATTTGTTTGCTGTGTTCTTTGAAAAAAAGTGACTCAATTTTTCTTTGGGTAGATATCTGATGTCGAATGTACCCCTTCAAGAATTGCTGTGACATTACTGGAATAGCGATTGAAGGTATACTCGAGCGAGAGATAGGAAAAGTGAACGCTCCGACACTCGAGCCAGGCATAACGTGGTTCAAGATTGTACGTACCTAACGTACAATCTGAATTACTGCATATACGTAGCCTTGTTGTACATGTAAACCAAGTCTCGATCGCCTGGTGTTGCTATGGGGACGTTTCTTTTTTTCTTTCTTCCTTTATCTCTCCCCCTCTTCTCTGTTCTCGTTCGATGCTCTTCCTTTCCGTGGATTTCTTGCGGTTCTCCGAGGAAATCTATCTCGTCCGCAAAACGTTTCTGCGTCCATCACCGATGCCTATAGCGCTAGATCTACCAAGGGGGGTCAAAATGACTTATTTGGCATTTCTTATAATCACTATTCATTTTCACTACATTTTGTTTTCTAAAATATTATTTTGTAATATTTTTTTTTATGCAGTATACCTCCATACACCGAGATGGGTCATTTTGATCCCCCATGGAACGTAGGTAAACTTGTGATTTTGGGGGGAAACTTCCGAAAGGCCCCCCCACCCTAGGACAACCAAACTTCGGATTTATAGTAATTGAGGGACGAGAAATCGAATGAGATCATTTTCAGAACTGGCAAATAAACCTTTCTCGAGGTATACAGAGTATTCTAAAAGTGTGGGACCCCCCCTATTATCTCGATAAGAACGCATTTCCACGGAAAATGACTATCCTAACCTAACAGTAACCCTAACCTAACCCTAACCTAAACCTAAACTAACCCTAACCTAAACCTAAATTAACCCTAACCTAAAGTTTCCCCCAAAATTACCATAGGAGACATAATGACTAATTAATTCGAAAAACAAGCCATTTTGACCCCACACATCAATCACCGGTGATTCTAGGGTTAAGAAGCGCCCGACAATGAAGAGGAATCCCTATAGTTAGCCCTATGGTTTGAATATCTATCTAATAATTCATTACTTTTGTAACCTTATAACATTGATGTGTAACATTGGAATCATTGTTTCACAGGGTAAGAACCTATCTCATTTCAATGGAGACGCAACGCTTGATGCGCAAGCGAACGACTTAAGAATCCTTTTTCATGATTGCAATAAACTTCAAGAGGGCACTTTGACGTCTTGAAAGCCATTGGAGTTTTAGACTGAACAATGATATTCTTCTGTGGAAAACATTAGCGGTCTCAGGAGCATTTGCTGAACAGCTTGTGTATTGTTCATACTGTAACCAGGAACAATGGATATTCGCCAGGACATGTGTCGTACCTTGTGTACACCGGACGTTCCGACCGCTCTGTCAACGTCTGTTAACCACCAGTATGACAAGAGAGCTATTTCAGTGAAGTTTTATTGATAGATAGACAATTTAAGCCTTGCCTAGATATTTATATGGTCCACCAGGTATCCATTGCTTTATTACTTTATCACTAATGTATACAAATTCTTTCTTTTATTAAACTTACATTCCTTTACTATTTTAGAACATCCCAGGTGCTTCATGTATGATTAGATAAAAGGATACGAAGGATTCCTACTTTACCATCTTGTGATTAAAAAATGAAGGAAAAGGAGATTTGAAAAAAAAAAAAAAATCTTTGCAAGTGCGTACGTCCCTGGGATATCCAATTAGCGCAACTATACTTCTTTCTTTATTAAATTTAAATTCCTTTATTATTTTAGAACATCCCAGGTGATTTATGCATGATTAGATAAAAGGATATGAAAGTTCCCTGCTTTACCATCTTGTGATTGAAAAATGAAGGAAAAGGAGATTTGAAGAAAAAGAAAATATCGTCGCAAGTGCGTTCGTCCCTGGGATATGCAGTTCATTCACACGGCTGTGTTTCGCTAAATATAATATGGCGGTGACCCCGGTCCTTCACTGTCGACTCCCCTTCCCCATCCCTCGATTCCCCACTCCTCCCTTCAATGCTTCCCTAATTCAACGCCTCTGTGATTACGTCCCTGCCCTCGCATCCCCTGTCCGGGGTACCGTCCCTACCTTCGACTCCGCTTCTATTCCCTTCTCTTCCTCTTCTTTTCTCTTTACTTCTGCCTCCTTTCTTTCCACCCCACCGCCACCCGCTTCGCCGGCTAGCTTTCTATTCTCTGTTCTTGGTTGCCGTGGAAGAAAAACTGACAATGAGCAAGAAGAGGCTTCTCTGATCCTCTATCTTTCTTGATACTTTTCTGCCTGCTCCAATTTTATCGTATCCCACCATGATTGGCAGAGGTGCTTCCCTTAAGACCTTATCGTTAGATTTGATTAGCAGTATGATTGCTCTTTTATTTTTTCTTATTATTAGTTTAAGGAGAAAGGAGAAAGTTCCATATTCCTCCTAGGTTTTCCCAAAATTTAAAATAAGTAGTGGGAGAAATGAAAGTCCACATTGGATCCTAATGTTTATAACAATTGTTAAAAAGATTACTTTTAATTGATAATGTTTGATCAGTGGTTCCTAAAGATACTTTTATTTCTTATGGTAGGAAGAGGCCGAGGGTTTTGGGAGAAGAGGATTGCCAGAGGATCTCGAGGTGCAGGAAAGAGTGCAGCTTTACGTGTAGCGTACAGAATTCTGGCTCGACTGCTCCTGCATCCAGGCCCTTCACCGCCTTTTAGACCTTAAGTTGCATTCACACTGAACAATTGAAACATCTTTGTGCGCTTTGAAAATTTCATTTCAAGGTGTTGGCTTTATCTAAAAGGTAACATTATAAAAATATTAACATTTACTCTATATTGTAAATCATTGTCATTATTATAAACTGTGAGAAATTTTGTAGAATAGAATTGATAAATCTAAATAGCCCCAGTAAGTAATTAAAAGCAAAGAAATGCTGGAAGAAGAAATGTTGAAAATATCCTATAAATTATTAATTATTAATTAACATCAATATGAAATGTAGAATATTTATTGATATTTTGTATTTATTTCAGGCTAAAGAATACTTCCAGGCAGATAGATGGAAGGAGCAGAGGCAATCTAATCGTAGAGCATAATCGGTCAGTTGGAAACGGTGCCTAACATCCCTTAGGGCCGCGCAAGGAGAGCTGCAGAGGCCATTCAACTGTCTACGATCGAGCAGGCAGGGGATTTTTACAGCGGCCGGAGTCTACCTACTCTCTGAGCTCTCGTATTCTTCTTGCTCTTCTTCTCTCGCCGTATCCTCCTCTACTTCTTCCTCTTCTCCTTCTTGTTTTCTTGTACAGCTTCCTTTTTCTATGCCCTCCTGATCTCTCTACCCTGCAATGGCGTGGCGAGTCAGGGACCGTGCGTGAGAAAGTCCAGTCAAAGATCCTCCAAATTATGCTGAATTTCTAGCCAATAATTGCACCGATCATTTAGCTGAAGATGTTCTTCGGTCACGCGTTCGAAGGAATGAAATTTTTTAGAACCTTGAGGATTAATCATTCATTAACACTAGATTGCCAGGCTCATATCCATCAAAATAGATATAGCACATATGGATTTTTGGTACTAAGGAGTGTACCATTAAGAACCAACATATGTTCCAAAAAAGATTATTTCAGTTTTATAGCACTAAAATTGTAAATGAGTCAAATTCACTCGCTCTGGCAATCTAATGTTAATTGTATATTGTAGGAATCTGAAAAATTAATAAATCATTGGCATAACTAGGATTTCTTTTGAGGTGTGCCATTTTAGAGTTTGGAAGTAGTAGGAGCATCCAGGCCCACTCTGTCCCTTACCTAATTACTCCAATGATGAAAATATTAATTACGAATTTCATATCGTTTCTTTTTCTCCATTTTCAGGTGAAGTATTCCTGAAAGATGAGAAAGGAAACGGGATCATCAACGAAGCGAAAGCGGTTATCAGCTATACTTGATGATACTAACCCGTAGATCCGAACTTGTGGGCTTTTTTATATGTATACCGCAAGCTCCTATCTACCGGTACATGTAGTCAGGCCAGCATTTAAGCTTTTCGACGGAACCTCCTCCTTCTCATTCGAGCCTCTATGCAATCCGCGAGTAGAGGTACTTCCGGTTATCAAGACTTTTTGCCAAGTAATATTCTGAATAGAAGAGTTACATCAGGAAGGGGGAGAGAATGAGACGATGCGCGAGAGAATAAGAATTAAAAATTTAAGTATAGTATACAAAAATAAATGTAACACCATTACGATACTAGGCGCCCATACTAGAACAAAGCGATTGATTTGCAGTGGGTCACAATATAGCAATTAAAAGTAGTGTTTAATAAACACTCACAGTGCCCACTATGATCGGTTTGCAAAGAATGGTCCAAATTGATAATCTAGTTTTTTGAGTTAAAAAGTCACCAAAAAATCCCTATCAGTCGTTTAATAGAGGAGCCTCGCTCCAACAACGTTATTGTTAATGTTCGATAGCTGTTAAAAGCAGGAACGGAAGCGAGAATTAAGAAGAGGAAACGAGCAGCATTAGCGACGACGCCTGGGTGAGGTAGTAGGTTGTATAGTAGGGAATGGAAATTCGCGTGATACGAAGTCCACTGTACAACTTGCTAACTTTCCCGGTCGTCGACGCCGCAACGTTTCATCGGTTCAACGTTTTTATCTTCAAGAAGATTCAGAAGATTCTCTGACGAAGATACCGAAGTTCTATTAGTGCGTAACGCGCGTATTTGCAGTGTGAATACAGTATTAAATAAAGAAGATGATCTGCTACCAGAAACGATGCTTGTAAAATAAGTTTATAATAAGAAGAAATTAAAGTGGTTGTATCAAGCATAAATTGTTTTAAAATTGAACAGATGATGCCTTTAAATTATCTTAAATAGCTGAAGTGTCATAGAGGAATATAAAATAATAATAGAGACAGTATATTGCTTGCAACCATCTTAAATTAATAAATAATTTTATATTTTCTTTTCTGTTAAATTGCAAGGAAATGAATGGTGGTAGATCCTCTTAAGACGAGAGTGTGTACTTCTATACGTCTATGTGTGCAATAGGTACACGGGTAAGGGATGAAAAGGGGTAGAGAAAATGAAATGGGCAATGGCGGGCGGGCTGATTGTAAAGCCTGCCGCGTCGCCGGTCCCCTGAGACCCTAACTTGTGACGTCGCGACCGATATCTCACAGGCTAGATTCTCTGGTATTGGCGATGAGTGCTGCCTTTTGCCGATCAAAAGTCAGTCCTAGTCATCAGAGATAGAAAACGTCCGGATACGTCGACGCCCTATAAAAACGAGGAGAGACTCTGACATTCAAACGTCTACTGCATGACGCATCTTGGAAAAACGTAGTTTATCTGTGAATATATAATGTACATCAATATTGTAACGCACTGATGCAACATTATTTATAAATTTATTTGTCAACAGCAGTGGCGGTTCGTAGCTAAAATTAGTGAGAAAATTTTTTAGCCTTTGTTTTAAAAAACCGGCATTGCGGGAGCGACCGTGCTCTCTCTCCTGCGCAGCCTAGTACGCAGCTTCCCATGTGAGCATGCGCGTGCGCATGCGCACACGGTCAAACACCACGCCGCTGGAACTAGGAAGCGCATAGTTACGTACAAAGATTTTTGTATCTTTTTCATAAACTGGGGGATGGCTACTGACATTAAGCTTAAGGATTATATATTGTACAAGTATAAAGAAAAAATTAAAAAAGAATTCATTATATTAAATGTTATCGATAATAACAAATGGAAATAGAAGGTGCTGCAGTTCCATTGTGCCTATACGCGAACCGCCACTGGTCCAACAGTTATATATTCACGTCAGGGGATATCCTGAAATTGTCAAAGTACTTTTCATTTTCTTTTTAGTTTCTTCATTTTCTGTGGATGCTGATTTCAGTTTCTAAATCATTAAGTTTATAACTAATATAAGTAATCCCTTAAATATTTTGGGTGGTGCATAGTTTCAGTTTATTGTAACGGTGTACATTAAAAAAATAAACAATGATCTTTATATTAATCTTTATATTTCAGTATTATATGCCCGATTGTCTGAGTAACAATTAATATTTTTTTCTTCTTATATAAACAATATTGTATATTTTTCACTGAATATGTACAATGATTGGTGCAAAATATTCTGGAAGTAGGATGATAAAGATCGTTGTGAGCGTAGAAAAATAGTGTTCCATCAGAAATATCTTCTACCTTCTTCCACTAACCGACTAAGCTCAGCGGCCGAGTAACCGAGAACTTGCTTCAAGTCGCATACAAATTTGTACACAAATCGTTTCCCGTGAACCTTAGAAATCATATCTCCGTCGTAATAATAGCGTAAGGCGCGGCTTAATTTTTCATAATTCATCGACGGTTTGTTTTTACGCGCACCCCAAAGTTGTGCCACCGCTTCTGGTTGATTCAACTTGAACTCTCCTTCGGTCCCAACCCATTGTATAGCACCTCTGTGCTCCCGGTCGGTTAATAGCTCCAACAAAAATTGCCATAATTGTATCTGACCACTGTTAACCGAACGGCTAGAGGTTGCTATCGTAATTGGCGTGGATTCGATGTTCTCAAAAGGAACACTGACCACTCGAGCCTGTTGATTCACCACCGGTCGGGATTTTGGAGTCTTCTGGTTTCGAACTTTGATTGACTTCTCAACGTTATTTTCTGTAGGTGATGCTGGAGGGTCCTTTTGTACAACGGCTAAGATAAGGTTACATATAATTAATGAAATTATTCAATAATTTAATAATTGCTTTAATAGTACGTACCAACAAATTTACACTTTCGAAGTAACTCTAAATGAGTCCAAAACACTTCCCCTGGATCAAGTGGCACTTTCGCCTGGAACTCCTCAAGCGTAAGATTGCATAACTGTTGACCAGTTATGTTCCAATCAGCTAATTTCACCGATGCTAAATTGAACTGTCTCACTGCCCACTGAAGCCAATGCTTCACGTGCGTCTGCGTCCATTCTTTTGGATCGGCTGGAATTTTTAACCGTTCCTGTATAATATATGTGTGTGCGTAAAATTTCAGTATGTATTAACTGTGAATTCTATACGAGATATAAGTTGTACCTGTTCTTTCTTATACTGTGGATCAACCATCCATCTAATTATGTTTCGTTTGCTGTCTTCATTAATTGGAACGGATGCTAAAGGAATAAAATAGAATTGAAAAATATTCAAAGTACACATAATAAACATTGTAAATAATGTTAACGCGTACTGCTGTTCTCTGCTAATTCTATGTAATCTTCGGCAGGTTTCAAGACATCTACTATATTAATACGTCTTTGATTAGCTTTTATTTGAACATTTACTTGAACTAGTCCTTCTCCTTGAACGCATTGGTCCACTAAGTTTTTATGACTCTCTAGCTGCAAATATATTTACAAATTAAAGAACATCTGTTATAATGTTATTATATTATTCAGCTGCGATATACCATTTGAGCATCTTGCAGCCAAAATGAGTAGTCTGTTAATTCAACTCCTAATCTTTGTTCTAATAAATTTCTTAAAGTGGACAGAGGTTCTCTTATGTCCATGTGTTGCATTAGTACACCTTCGTTGCAGTCATCTCCATTTACTGCACCCTCCAAAGCAAAGCTTGGTTCTACTTCCAAATCGGAACTTTCTTGTTGCAGTTGAGCCATTATGTCGTCTTCTTGCGATAATATGGCCTCTGGCTCCATTTTAATGCGTTTTATGATCGCATAATCAGAATCATCATCCGTGTCAAAACTATGTAACGTAAACATACAGTTCTTTTAGCATAAATCAAACAGCGTAAATCAATAATGAATGTATGAACAATTGAAAATCATTACACGTAATTAGGAACAGTGTATCTTCTATTATGGTTAGGGTATTAATAGAATTTCATTGTAAACAAAGTATCCCCTTTCTAGCAACTAACTTGTGACATAGATTATGATGGAAAGTTCATAGTAACCGACCTCTTCTCGCAATTTTTCCGTCCGTTTCCAAGATCCATCAGCACTAATCGAAGCTGTCAAAGCTTACAAAGTAGACCTGAATGAATTTTAACCTTTACAAAATAATAAAGCTCTCCTTTTTCTAAAACTTCACGGACATCTTGTATTACTATAAATGCATTACCATGGGCTACAAATTGCATAGATGCATCAGCTTCGGTCAAACTTCGTTTTAGGGGATCAAAAATTAACGGTTCCAAAATATGTAGTCTTGTAGTTTTTGACCTGAAGTATTCGAAAATGCAAGTTAAAAGTCCAGGAAACCAATGGTTTAAAAAACACAATTGTGTAAAAATGTACGTATTTAGTGATGTTTGACAGGTTAGTACAACGCCATATTGTTTCTACGCATTCTCTGATTGGTTCGTTAAAATGACTGTAACATCCGCTTATCTTATTTAAAAACATACTGCTTCTTAATTGCTGCGATCAAGGAATTCATAAGGTGTATTTGGTTAATTTTAAAAAAGCTATGCCACAAAAATTCACATAGGCGATTTGAAAAATCTTCCACGCATCCAACCTATACCGCAGTTCACCAGAGTCCATAACTGCGACGCGCAGGTTGGAAGATGGTGGGGGAACGCAGCGAGCTCTCTGCTAATCGCTTTCCACTTCGTTTGGGAGTATCGCCAATCAGCGCGAAGATGCGTACTGGAGATGCGCGAAGAACGAAAGCTGGTCTTTTCGCAGTTATGGACTCTGGTGAACTGCGGTATACATTTCGAATTTATGTGCGACCAATCAGAAGGTCGGTAGAAGCAATATGGCGTCGTACTACTCAAAGTACGCTAAATACACTTTTTTCACACACTTGTATTTTTTAAACCATTGGTTTCCTGGACTTTTAACTCGCATTTTCGAATGTTTCAGGTCAAAAACTATAAAATTATTTTTTATTCAAAAATTTTTGGTCTTCTAAAACGAAGTGCAGCTTCAACTTTATACAAGTACATTACAAATTAGCCTTTAGAAATTCGAAGGAACAAGGTGTTTCCAAAATAAAAGTCAAAGGAATTGCAATTTATTTAAATTTATTAGATTTACAGAACATTATACGTGTATAATATGCAACATTTGAATAATCAAATTCCTATAAGTTCTAGAGATAGTTATAATAAATGAAACATCTATCATTTACGTGATATTTATTTAAGTACATACGCGACTTAGAAGAAAGTTTACATTTAAATAAATATGGGTACCAAAATATTATTCTTATCATTTTTGCATTCTCTATATGTTTATTAATTTCTTAATTGTTACATGTTACATATAACTAAAACAGAAAAGAAAAGTTACAATAATCGGCAGTGATCGTATAATTCAAAAAAAATAAAATAACTTCGACGAAATAAATTACTCCAAAACCATATAACAATAATACACCGATAATGCCATCGAAACGGTGAAAAGCACAGTTACTTAAATAGCATTAAAATATACTAACAAAAATAGTTTTAGCGATATCCAATCTTCTTCTGATCTCATAGCTATTATGACTCGTTATATTAATAAAAAATTTGATGCAATGTTTTATACAGTAAAAACTGTGTCGAGCCCAATAAAAAGTATAAATCTATTTGTATAATTCATTTGTAAAAAAAATAGTCAAGGAATGATAATTATGAATTTTAAGAACCTAATAATACATTGGTTTATTACAACTTATTAATTCCTCTTCAGTTTGTTGTAATAATAGAATTGCAACGTTCCAACTAATATTTACAATTTTTTTTTTACTTCAATTTGTGCAAGACAAAGTTTTTTACTTCCTGCTTTAATTATGCACAGTAATTATCACTATTATGATAAGTGAAGGACTAGTTATTGTGATGTTTCGTTACCAACTGTTTCTTCTAATAATCATTATATTTACAATAAAACTAACCCATTATATGCTTTAAGGCAGCCTTTATAGAAAGGCTTTTAGTCTCGTCTATTAAGGATAGAACAGTCTGGCCAGAAAAATTTGGGAGATTCGCAATCGCACCGTTCACCAACAACTTTTGCGCGATCCATACATAATTATTCTCGAGCGCATGAAAGAATGGAGTCCTCCCAGAACGATTGTCCTTCAAATTTACGTCTGCACCAGCTTCTATTAAGGCGGTAACGCCTTCCAAGTTACCATTGAAAGCACAGTAATGCAAAGCAGCAAATCCTTAAAAATACATACACCTTAGATGAATGTCCAATCTCTTAGACATTTCAAATTTGAATAATTACCTAATGAATCCACCTGGTTCAGTAGTTTAGAGTCTGTCACGCATTTAACAAGGTCTGGTAATAATGGAGATGAACATTTGCTAGCCAAGAGTATCGCAGAATCATGCAAAAGTTCTGAAGAAACTGGGTTCGCTCCATTTTTCAGTAACAACTTCACTATATCTTCAGATGCGTTCCATTTGATAGCCAACTCTAAACATGTCTGAAAACATTTTTTTATTTTATAATGCAACATTTTCCAAAATGTTAATAATATAGTTACTTTACCTCTCCATCATCTGTGGGTATATCAATACTCATTTTAGAAGCTTGTAGTACCAATAGCAGTCTCTGTAATTCGTGCAGCTGGTCATTTATCACTGCTCTATGTATATTAACCATACCATTTTCATCCCATTTTTGCAATCCTTCAAAATCACTTTTCAACTTTGCGCCAACTTTTTTGTACAATGAATGAGGTGTTGACAGTACCTTTTTCACTTCATTTACATTCGTATTCGTCCCAAAATGTTCTATGAAATAATTATCTAAATCAAGAGTATCTTGCATCGATACTGAACTCAGAGTTGGGAATAAATCTATATTATCTATGTGTCTATTCACTTTGGTGTTGGATCGTGTTTGTGTTACAGCATCTAAAGTAGACGACTTAAGAGTTGATCTTTCTGTTTGTTTTATTCTTTCCAGAATTGGTGTATCCTCCTTGACTAGTATGAAATTTTCAAAATCTAAAAGTCCAAACACATCAGTCTGAATCGGTGAATCATGGACTGTCTTTAAATTCTCTGGTGGTTTAATAGGAATTTGTTTCGGTGTACCTATCCCACAATCCGCAAGAGCTTGTAAAGCTTTCGTTCTAAGTTCTTCATCCTTCACACTTGTCAATGCTTCTTTAATTATGTCCCAATGTTGTGATAATTTCTCTTCCTTACGGACATCAACAGAGACTGCCTCTTTAGCTTTACTTGTTTCAGAAATTGAATCTTCGTGCTGCATGCTGTTAGTGTTATTACGCATTGTTTCATTTTGGCAAGAATTTGATTTATTATTCGTATCATTAGGTACAACTTGATTTTCACTACTTATATGTTTATTATTTGCAGGTACTAAAGTAACAATATCCTCCTGTTTTTGAATCGTATTATTGTTCTCCTCGTTTTGAGAATTTTCATTTAGCACTTTGTCTATTGAGTTTGTTGGATTTGTCTGAGTACTTACATGGCACTCTTTGTTATCAACAGGCTTTATACTATAGGAATTTCTACGTAATTTAATATTATTCTCTACTGTACTATTTCTGATACCTGAATTAATATCTGATTCATTGTTATTTGTGTTTATAGAAAGCCTAGTAATATCATTACCGATAGCTTTACTTTTTGGTACTGATAATCTTTCACATTTTACTACAAGAATTTTTGATTCCGCTAATTTCTCAGAATCTAAACCATTCTGAGTCTTTAATACATTCGTTTTACTTTGATTTTTTGTATTTCCTTCGCTATGAGAATCACTTTGGTTTTTCATTGAAAGATCGTCATTTTTCTTTTTACTTGGAAATAATATTTTGTTTTTCTGTATTGTTACATATTTTGGAATATTCTTACTTAGAGTTTGAACTTTGTCCAACGATTTCTTATCATTTTCCTTTAACAATACCATTTTATCATTGTTCTGTTGATTAATTTTACTTATTTTTGTTAAAACATACTGAGTCTGGGCTTTATTACATTTTTCTTTCACTTCGGATCGTCGATCAGAACCAGCTGATACTTTGTTAGAAGGAATTGATTTTACGACTGCTTTCGATGTTTCAACATCATTTTGCGAACCCCTCAACGAGCCAGTATTACTCGGTGGTACAATGGAAAGTTTCACAGGCTTATGTATCTTATAACTCAAACTAGCTTTGTTAAAGGTAATTGTTTTAGAGCTTAATGCATTCTCCTGAGAGAGAAAGCGTACTTTAACTTCACCAAGATCTTTACCATCTTGGGATTTTATTCTTAATTTTGTTATATTATTAACGGACAATAGTTCTTTACCTCTTAAATTATTAAGGTTCTTCTGGGTTATTGTTTTGTTAGTAGTATTTACTGCATTATGGCCTTTTTGTACAATATTACTCTTCCCTGAGATTTTGCTTGGAAATTTATGTGGTAAATCAAATTCCCTTTTACATTGTATTGTTGGTATACTAATATTCTGTGTAGTTCTTAGTCTTTTAACTGTAGATAAAGTCTCCATTTAAGTGCACTTCTTTTTTTCTCAAGGTTTCACGATTCAAAACACTGAGGGATTTTGCTTAGTGGAATGAATCAAAATTTCAGTATTTAAAAAATCACACCATAAAACATGGTATATATAACCTAATGCATCCAAGTAAATATTACATTATTTCTTGATGTTTCTTTAACTTTATGAGCACAAGACAATAATATTTTACAATATTAGAACCATCGTACAATAATACATAAAATCATGATAGTTAATCCCAGACAGGGTATTTCCACATCCAAATTCACAAAAGGGGACATCCCTCGATCCAGATTACTGACACATACTATACATTAGGTGAACTTCATTGTATAGTTTCGACGCTTAGGAAACGTTGTTTGTAACCTAATTTTGGTGTATAATTACTGTGATAATTACAGAAAAGGTGAAATTGTTGTATAAGTTTCAGAAAACGAGATTTCTAAGAGAAACTAAGGAAGATAATTCAAAGAAAAAAACCTTAGGATGTATTCTAATAAGTAAGAAAATAAAATGAAATACAAAAATAATGGGATAATACAATTTTGGAATCTGTTGATATTGTAATTAAATGCAAGCTGATGCTGATTTTTTGGAGGTAATTGTATATAAGTTAATTTTGATTTCGTTTGAAATACGCAAATCTGTTAGTAATTTATTTGGTGTTTGTTAACATATAAGACAGAACAGAGGTTGGTACCACTGATGGGAATTTCTGCTTCCTAATCTATATTTTTGCAGGTGTTGATAATGGCATAGCTTAGGTTAAATGTTTATTAACGTTATGTAACATGTTTAACAACATTACAAGTAATTATACATTTCAAATGTGTACATTTTTATAGAAATATTGAGTTTCCTTCTTTGTTTCTAAGGTAATGGACAAATTCTTTTCCAACAAGTTTCTGCTGTTATGTAGAAACTTGAATGCTATGTTCAGTATTAATTATAAATAATTGTTTAAATTTATTGGTAAGTTGACAAATATTGTATAGCACTGCTGAAACTTTCAAAACAGACACTGTTTCAAAATGAAGCCATCCAAAATGCTTTTGAATGGCTTCTGAATATTTATTAGATAATCAAGATTTCAAATTTGTTTAAATAATATTTGAAACGATCAATCTTTTATCGTGTTGCTCATTTTAATCCAATCGTCTAAGTGTTAATCAAATATTAATTTTTGTTCGAAGAATGCGCAGGGCCGGCCCTGATTAGGCGGTCGCCTAGGGGCCCCAAGGTCCAGGGCCCCCATAAAACGATTTTGCGTCTAAGACACGTAATGTTTACTTGAATATTAATTAGTTATACAATATCAATCATAGTGTCCGTTCGTCTAGTGAAAAAGCACTGACCTTGGAGTACAAGTTTAACCGCAGCAAATATCATAAATCTAATAATTTAATGAAAGCCCTAAAATAATTATAATCATCTAATAAAAGCTTTGGAATATTCAATAATTTAGAATTTCAATAATTTATTTGAAATTATATTGATATTGTATAAGCTTTAATGTTAATTTTATAAATTTTATTTGAGCTACTTTTTTTTATGTAAAATATGTTAAGGGGCTCGCCTCGGGCCCCCGAAATCTATGGGCCGGCCCTGGGTATGCGCCACGTGTTTCGAAAGGGTTGCGCAAGAAGTGGGGGAGTAGGAGAAGGGAGGGAGAAAGAAATGGCATCGTTACTCGAATACCATTCGTGGCAGTGGCCGCAAATACCGAGTATCAGCGAGTGCCGGTGTGTCGAGCAGCGGCGTATACGTATGGAGTAGTAAGGACGCTCAGTTTTGAAAAGGCTCGTTCGCGCAATCATGGACGATCGCCGAAACAGCCGGGAGGTAGCCACCATATTGTTTCTGTGCCTACTGTGGTACGGAATATCGAGCAGCAGCAACGTGGTAGGGAAAATGTTGCTCTCGGAGTTTCCCTATCCGATGACAGTAACGATGGTCCAGTTAACCTCCATCACCATCTACTCCGGACCGTTTTTCAATTTATGGGGTGTACGAAAGTACGCCTCGAATATTCCATGGGGATATTATTTGAGGTTGATCGTGCCACTCGCCCTGGGCAAATTTTTGGCAAATGTATTCAGCCACGTCAGCATTTGGAAAGTGCCTGTCTCCTATGCTCATACTGGTATGAAATACTATTTTGACAGTCACGTGTACCGCGTGCGTCTTATTCAAAAATAAAATACCCTGCGACCTTCGCGCGAAGCGCGGGATAGCTGCTAATGTGCGCTGCCTGTTAGCACTATGCCCGCGATAACCTGGCGATAAGATTTTTAAATTTGAATCGTTATGTTCATTTACACAACTGTGTTCAAAGAGAAACATTTCTGTCAAAATATTTAATGTTCAAATTTTTCAGTTTTACACATTTTGTTTAAGCATCGTTTGATAAGTGGTAATCTGTTAACGAAGAGGATTAAAATGTCTTATGTAAAATGCAGAGATAATACAATGATTGATTACAGATTTTAATTATATTATAAGAACGCAATAGTAGATAAAGACGGATTATTCTTAATTAAATTTAAGCCGTATCAATTATTTAGTACCAGGTTGAATAATAGATGCTAAAAGAGATAAAAATTTATGCAAACGTTATTTTTAGCTTTATCAATCTCACATATTAACTAAAGTTTGGCTCTGTCCCAGTGAAGGCTACAATGCCCTTCTTTACGGTGCTGCTGTCAAGAATCATACTAAGGGAAAAGCAGACCTGGAAGGTGTACCTTAGCTTGGTTCCGATCGTTGTAGGCGTGGCTGTAGCCACACTGACGGAGCTCAGTTTCAACATGATCGGTTTGCTGAGTGCCTTAGCATCCACCATGGCATTCTCCTTGCAAAACATTTATTCCAAGAAGGTATTCAACGCTGATTTGAAAATTATTTCGTTATAATCCATAATTCTAACTATGCTTTTACTCCTAGGTCCTACGCGACACTGGAATACATCACCTAAGGCTGTTACATATTCTGGGTCGTTTAGCATTGATTCTCTTTCTTCCTATATGGCTAATGTACGACTTAAGACGATTGATATACGACCCAACTACCCATGGGTCAGCGTATTTAAGTTCTAACATAATAGGATTGTTATTTCTGGACGGTGTATTGAACTGGTTTCAAAATATCATCGCCTTCTCGGTACTGTCCATTGTTACACCTTTGACATACGCGGTAGCAAGTGCTAGCAAGCGTATATTTGTAATTGCAGTGACTTTGCTAGTGCTCGGTAATCCTGTGACATGGTTGAATGTATTCGGAATGACACTGGCCATCATCGGTGTATTGTACTACAACAAAGCCAAGTACGATCAGAGATTGGAGAAAGAGAGTGAAACAGCACTTCCAAAGTATTACGATAAGAATCGTAACGGCGACAGTAGTAGTTCCTTCATGATAAATGGATGGACTGGAAAGAAGCAACAATTGTATGCAGTCTAGTCTGAAATTGTTTTCCATTTGACAAATTCGTATGAGTTCATTTTCTTTGCCAGAAACACGACGTTCCAGTCGTGAGCGGTGTTATCGGTTTTATTTATATTTAAAGAATAGACGAGGGGGGAGTAGCGCGGTAATTAGAACACTCATATGATGACAAAAGTATTTATACACTCTCACACACACACGCTCACACATCTATATACTTTATTGATAATTAATTATTCCTGCACAAAGATGCGATCCCCTTGGTACTTGATTATGGTATTTTCATTTTTTGAACTGAGAATTTATTTTAAATTTACAATCAGACGAATAGACTTGCTGGCAAGATAGGATTGTACAATTCGCATGATCGTTACCGTTTCAGGCTGGTCGCTGGGTCGATCGCCGTTAAGATCGATAACATTCCTGCGTCCAACGAAGCGAATAGATCAAAATTCAGCTTACGATCGTCGTGTGTATGTATTTAGAGACGTTCCGCATACGATATCGAGCGGCATTCACGCGTTATCGATTATGTCTGAAATAATAACTTCTTTCCAATCGTTAGCCCGCCGCTGTGGAAAAGAATGTGTCACGTTGGAGTCGCGTGAAGCTCAGGTGTCACGGTTCTATTTCACGAACTCCTTAGGTTGTTATCAAAGGAACATGATAGTTTAATCCTCCGTGAAGGTTTCATTTTAATATTCTTTGGATCTCTCACAGTGATCAGCTGCGAACTCGATGGATCTCCAAAGATAGCCCATAATATTATTAGGTGTACAAATTAATTCGGTGCCTTTTCTTTATTTTAATTAAATATATAGTAATTCCAATTATTGAAATAATCTTTATTGTTGTTATGTTGTCTTGACACTTTTCAAATGTTCATATTAAAAATATTAGTTAAGAAGGCACCGAATTAATTTGTATACTCCATCAATTACACCTTATCGGTGTAAGAGTTAATTTCGTTCATGCAGGGTTAAACTTACGTCGTGTTAACATTTTACAGGAGTGTGCTCGGTTGTGGTGTGTGTGGACTGTATGTAGGAGAAGATGTTTTAGCTAAAAGCAATCTATACATTTATTTTTATAAATAAAATACAGGTGTGTACAAAAATATACCAGATATGTTCACCGGTCGACTCGACACCAATATATTCTCTGTCATTTTTCATCACCTCTCCCTACAGAGTTTTTATGATGTTCGGAGGGGACATTGGTCTAGCTACCGTCAGGTCTAAGCGTGGACCAGCAGCAGCGATCAGGGGAACGGCCAAACAGCAATCGCAGTCCTCTGTGCTGGCATCGTTCACCCGAAGGATCCTGTCGTATGGTCTTAGTATACCGTCGCATGGACCTCCTGGTCGTAGACGGTTTATGTATACCCCACGCTCGTATAATCCATCCGACACCGAGAACCCAAAGTCCTCGTAGACTGGATCCTTGTGCAGCGACACGTGGACGATCTGCTGAGGTCTATCCGAATTACTGCACTCTTGTGGCCTGATAAGAAATCAACGAAAGGTTGAAAATTTGTAATTAGGGTATTTACAATTTAAACTTGTAATGAAATTAAATTGTTATATTTTCATTTTCTAAACACTGAACATTGTACATGTATCTTCTTTTTATTTACCCAGGAAAAGGAGGCATGGGTAGATCCAGTTGACCGCTATCCACAGAAGCCGTGTCCCAAAGTCTCAGAATTTCTGGGCCCGTTCCACTGTTATCTCCTAATTCACCCCAAGAGTCCACTGCGCTGTCTACGCTTGGCAAACTCTCCCTTGCTGGACGTAGAATTCCTGGAGGGTACTGTTGCACTGTGTCGCTTCCTATGCTAGAGTCCCTGCAATATTCTCTATAAAAATCCATCTTTCCTTCATCTTCCATTCTGTTTATTGTGATTAATCCTTCATTACACTCTCATAACACTCCAGTCTAAAGAATCCCATGTAAAATGTGTGCAAAGATTAAAATCAGAAGTACTGAAGGATTAAAGCGAGCTTCTGTTGATTCGTTCCTAATATTTATAAGTAACAATTACCTAGTTTCCGAGGTAGGATCCGGTTTCCTGACAGTCAAAGCAACGACCGAGCTGCCAGGTCGATGCAACAGCTGCGCCGCTTGCCTGAGGTCGCCGGGATCCAGTTTTTGCCCGTCTATTGCTAACAGTCTGTCCCTAGGCGCGAGGCTGCCAGTCCTGTAAGCCAACGACCCTTTCCTAACCTCGGTGATAATCAAATCCTCGTTCACGGTTAGGCCAACGTCTGGCTGACCACCTACAGGTCTTGCCACTCTCACAGTAAACACTCCTGAACTGGGCACAACTGGTCCACCGACCTTGTACTCTGTTACCAGTTCAATCTGAAGTGAACAACAACAATTAAGAAGCACGTTTAACAGAAGAGAGAAAGACGACAAGCGTTGCTCACCACTTGGGAAGTTTCTAAGATGCTAGTGACCTCTGCTGGCTGCAGGTCCCTCAGCATTCTACGGTTTACAGCGAGCACCTTATCACCAGGCAAAATGACTCCACTACGCTCTGCAGGACCACCAGCCTCCAGCAAACTGACCACATAGTTCAAGCGATCCTCTGCAGGCTTCAGAGCCAGACCGAACCCTTTGTGATCAGGTCTCAGTACTATGGTCAAGCTCTCCTTGGTCTGCAGGGTTTGACTGGAGCTCTGCTGTGCCTGAGGTTGTGCCCTCCTCTTCACCGTCCTCTGAGAAGTGCTGGGGGGCCTTGGTAGGATCTGCAGCCTGGCTATACGAGAATTGTCAAAGTTGTTCCTGAGCAATTTGGCTGCAGTCACAGCGTCCTGGACAGGTGTCTCGTCCACTGCTAGCAGCTTGTCTCCTGGCTGCAGAGCTCCACAACGGTCTGCTGTGCTGGCTGGTCGGAGGCTCTCAATGTACACCCCGGTTGCTGTCTCCCTGACTGTCAAACCTAACTCACCTGTAATCAGAAACAGTCATTGATGTACTCTGATGATTCAAAGACCATCAGAGTTTAATATTACACTAACCTGAGAGGCCTCGTTCAAGCTGCACCAAAAGCGGACCAGAGGTGGCAGCCCTCGCCTCCTCCATGTTAGCAACGTCGTACTCTATGGTCAAGGAAGCAACCGGAGCGTCCGAGCTCCTCCTGAGTGCCCTCTGGGCCTCTGCCAAGGTCAGCCCTCTCAACTCAGTATCATCCACAGCTAGTAACCTGTCTCCAGGCCTGACTCTTCCCTCTTTCGCCGCAGGTCCGTCAGCTTTCACTCCGGTGACGACCAGGGCTCTCGAAACGCCTCCCCTGAGGGTCACTCCTAGACTGCCCCCCTCGCGTTCCACTCTAACCTGGGCAACCTTCGAGGACACGCTGGACGGAGTCGACACAGGGCTATCCTGATCATCGAGCAACAAGAAACTATGCGGATGGTAAGACTGAGTTGTAATGTCGTCTGCTCTGGCCGAGTCGGAACTAGCTGACGTAGCTACGCTTCCAGGTCTGGCACGATTCTTGTGCGAACGCATGGTGGTCAGTCTCAGGGAACTGAACATCCTCGACGTCCCTCTTCAGGGTATTTTACCGATCAACGTCGCTGCTTGGGGAATAGACGATTGGCATCGCTGATTAGACACGCTGGTCTAACTCGTTGCACTTTTATTAAGGCACTGATAGAAGAGGAAACTTTGAGGCAGTCAGGCACCTCGAGGAGGCTTTAAATACACTTGATAATTCCCTGGAAAGGATCATCTAGCGGACACGGTTCCCCGTGCACGCTGTGCGGCGTCGACTGACCGGCGCTCATCGGTATTTATTTTAAGAGAGCGTATTTTTTCGCGCACTGTTCGCGCTCGTGTCCACGATTTATTTCAAGAGACTGGCTGGAACGCGTAGCCAGCACGTTGGAACGATTAACCACATTCGCACAATCGGTGTATCCCGGTTTCAGAACGATCCAGGCGATAGAAGAGGAGCAGCAGGTCGTCGAGGACACCCGGAACGATCGAGGGTTTCTTGTTGGTCGCGGTGTAAACAGCAGGTCGGTGTCTTTGTTTGACGAGGCCGTGGTGGGCGAAGAAGTTGTAGCCGGAGGGAACTCGTTGGAACTGAGCGGCGGAGATGTGTAACGAGTGGCGATGCCTGTCGAAAATAACTCGACGATGGTAGGGCCGCATCTCGTACAACGGATCGTCTATTTATACACTGCGACACCCTCGCCGCTATGGAGGAACGTGTACCGTTGGACGCGGCCCTGCAGGCGCCCCGCAGTCGCTCTACCGTCAAATAAGTCTGCACTTCTCGTTAAAAGCTTAGATTTCGAGTGTACGTGTTGCCGGTCGGCTCGCTTCGCCTACGGTTGCACCGTTTGAAAACCGCGTCTGAACCTACGGCGCGCTTAATTTAACGGGGGATCTCTTTTATTTTTAGTCCGCGATATCGCCAACGTCGAACAGACGTTCGTGATACCTAGAAGTCTTCGTTTAAACGACGCACACCGTTGGACGGTGACCAGAGAGACTTTGATGCCATTCAGATTCAGAGATTCTTTTTTAAACATTTGTTTTTCAAATCTAAATTCAACGATTCAAGGCTTTTGAATATTCTTCTCTCATCAATTCCTAAATTTATTTGAAAATCAGTGTCTTTTATAGTTTTAGTTCATTTATTACAATAATTGATATTAAAATTCATGTAGAGGCATTTTAATTGTCATCCACTATTTGAGGATGATATATTACTTATTGAACTCTACATGAATTTATTGAAAAATGAAATGATTTCCTACTGGAAGTTTCATGGCATTCAAAGTGATTAATGTTAGGATAAAGGCATAGTCTTGGATAAGAATAAATAAAAAACAAAATACACGTAGAAAATGATATTTAATACAGAATCAGCGCTACACTTAAGAACTACTCGATCTTCCAAGATCCTGTCGAAACTACAATTGCTCAGAAGAGAGGATAGATAAAAAAAGAAAAGAATCTATTTTGTAATCGTCCAGTGAACCAAGAGAGAAAGAGAGAGAGAGAGAGCAAGAAGAGGAGGAATCAGGGTCCATTGACCGATCTTAAGTAGTCGGTTTTTGCAACCTCTTCCTACAACTTCTCTTCTCTCTCTAAATCTTTCTTCGTTTCAATTTCCAACTGTTTAGCCTCTCGCTCTCTTCCTCTCACTGATTCGATCTCCGTTTCGCAGAAGTCTGCCGGTGCGAACACCTTTCATCGTTCTCCATCCTTTGATCTCATATTCGCATGCGTTTCTTGCTTTAAATCACATCGTGCATCGGAATTTTTCATTAATTTTATTACAAGTCAGTTCAGGCACAATTGCTTAATTTTATAATTAATTTAGTTCAATTCAGAGACAGTCTTTGTCTCATTGATCCATTTCCAGAGGTGTGATCCATTCATTCACTAACCATCTTGGAACGGTTCAATTAAATCAATTAGCCAAGTTAATCGGTTCATTAACTCTCCTTTTTATCCCCTTCTGTAGCCTGTTTCTATCAACGTCTAACAGAGCTGTTTTGAAAAATTGGATACATTGTCTGATTTTCATATTTATTAACAAAAAGCTTCCCTTCATGAATCTAACAATGGTTCTCTGTTCCAGGTTTATCAGGATTTAACCTAATTAACCAGCCCCATTAATTTCATCAAGCGCTCTCTAACATTGTTCACCTTGTGACTTGACTCTGAACCTTGTCCCATCAACTGCGAAGGTACTTATCAAGCCCCTATCTCTAATCTGTGATTCTTTGTTAGTAGAACCATGTTCCCCAGTGACACGTGTCATAGCAACAACCAAAAACCGATTCCCAATATTCCAGAATTCCAGCTGGAGAGGAGGCTGGACCAAAAGTTGACATGTCCCAACGAGGCTGCACTTTGAAAGTGGCAAACGTGGTGGTTTGCCAATTCCACCGTGTGCTAAAGTTAGCGTACAGTCAGCGGAGAGGCGAGCGTGCGACAAGGGGAGGAGGAAAACGGGCAGAGTGGGTTTTGGGAGTCGGTGCCGGATGGAAATAGAAAAAGGAAAAGTTGATGAAAAGGAAAAAAACAGGTCACAGGAGGCGAAAGGTGTGAAGGGAAAGCTTGGTAGAAGAAGAAGAAAGGCTGCCCTCCAGAAGGGAGGAAGGGAGGCAGAAGCGAGAGGGTTGGTCCGTGGGTGGAAAACGCTCGAGACGGTGTCTATCCTTGCCAAAATAATGAGCCACCTGGTGTATTAATAACCTGGACACGGTGTAACGCTAGACGTTTAGAATAAACGCGGGAATATCAAGTAGTTACGCGTCTCTGAGATTCAACTCGAGCGCCTTCCGGTTTCTCCGGTCGCGCCGCTCTCTCGTGCTGGGATAATCCTTCGCATCTAGCCTGAAATACACTGTTCGTTCTTTTTTTTTATTTGAAACACATCATTGTACACTCAGCGCCAGCAGAATTTGCGTTTCACGACACTCTACCGGGGAGGACTTAAAAAAAGAAGAGAGAAAATACAGGGTACCTAAGGGTGAAACGAGAAAGAAGGCACGCTGTGATCTCGTCCACGTTTAATGGAAGACTAATCTAAGTGTTCTATCGACGCAGCGTGGCCTTTGCATTATAAAAACCTAGTAACGTGATCGCTGGAAGACTCGACTCGAGATGAGTGCAAGCTGTTCAGGAACATTGACTCGGTGGAGGCATCTAGCCGCCATCTTCCATCAATCCCATCGATTCACCGTCTCCAAAAGACTTCAAAGTCATCCGTAATCCTTCCTGGATTAACTCCAACACGTTCACCAGTGCCATGAGTAGCAGAACGTTGACGGATGATCAACGCCTGAAGCTGTCAAAGTTGGACTCGTCGCGTGTCCCCGCAAGCCCGTTCAGTCTGTTGCGTTTGGATTCGTGTAGGAGAATCCACGGAAGACACCCTGGTCCATCGAGGTGAGGATCTGCTCGGGTACCGGGGTCAATCGCGGCCTTTCAGCGGTGAATGCTGTGTCAAAGTACTTGGTATCCAGAGTGTGATCCAGGGCTGGCCTGAACGGTGCCTCCAGCTGCCTCCTTTCTAACCGATCCCACGGCAGTGACTGCAAAATTTAATGTATTCCTTATTTTCTTGGTCTCTTCTTATTAAGAGAGTAAGCATAGAGAAAGAAGGCACATAGGAAGAGCTTAATGGAGAACCTCTTCTTTGAAGGATAGGGGAGAAAAAAACGTTTTCGTCTCGGGATCCTCTGTCAGACTCGTCAGTGGGGCTGACAACAGACAACCCCTGCCCCAGACACCTATCATACCCTTTTTTTTATTTTATGATAAAAATGGTAGCGCTCACCATGAACAATAGATGGAAGCACCCGACACAAATATGAGTGACACTTCCCTGTCAGCAATAACCCGACTTACCGGCAGAAATGAAACCCCAGACACCTATCATGCCGCAATTCGGATTTCCTATATATTTGAACTGCATGCCGGGCGATCGCCAGCGAGAACACCGTCGTCTCGCCCGCCACCTAGCGGTCCCGACCCGAACCAAAGGCGTCCGGGGAGACGAAACCCTCTCCCCCTCCACTAAACCCTAACTGTCCACCGATCACGAGAAGTCCTGTGACAATAACGCAGTCTGATTGGCCGCGCCCCACCTCGAGTCACACGTGACGTATGATTGGTCGACGCGGTCACATCTACTAATCAGGCTCGTGTGAAACCAGGAGGTTAGTCGATGCGCGCGTAGTATCTCCCCTTGCCCCTATGCCATCCCGCGAGACTTCTTGTCATCGGTGAACAGTATATCTTTTAATTGACGACTGGAATGGCCCGTTGCAATACATCATTTTTCAAGACTGAATTATACTGATAATGCCGATACAATGGACCATCCCTAAGGATGAAAATGAAGCAATTGTTTGTACTTGAAAGAAGGAGTGCAACGCGATATCGTGTCCAGGTAGCCTCTTCCCTGAATCCTTTTCTAGAAGGCAGACCAGTATGTCTGTGGCCTCTTGGCTCAGGTACCGCGGTATGAACGGTCTTTCGTTACATATACTCCAAAATAGCTCGTCCTCGTCGCAGCCGGAGAATGGCGACTGTCCCGTGAGCATCTCGTACAGAAGCACGCCGTACGACCACCAATCCACCGCCTGATTGTATTTTAGTCCCTTTATGATCTGCAATGCGGAAACGGCACTCCGGTTAACCAAAAGAGACCAACGAACACACTGACTTTGGAAGTCGATTTGATACCTTTAAGAGCATCAGTAGCATATTATAACTTAATTACAGTTAAAATCTCTGTATTACAAAAATATCTGCCAGCTTTGAAGGACACTTTCAATTCAGCCAAAACCTTATAAATCTTAAAAGGCTGATTTTGCCTCCTTACCTCAGGTGCCATGTAATCAGGCGTGCCACAGAATGTATCAGCCGTTCTATCAAGGAATATCTGCAGCTTGCACATGCCAAAATCAGCTATCCTGATGTGGCCCTCGAAATCCAGCAACACGTTGTCCAGCTTCAAGTCCCTATACACTATTCCCTTTTTGTGCAAGAAATTCAATCCGGACCAGATCTCAGCAGCGTAGAAACGAGCCCTTGTCTCTGAGAATCGACCAGATTTCTGTATATGGAACATCAGATCACCGCCGTTCAGGTATTCCATCACGAAGAACAAATGGGAGTCCGTTTGGAAGGTGCAGAACAGGTGACAGAGATACGGATGCCTGGTGGCCAGAGTCAACACCTTCCTCTCTATCAGGGTACACTCTACGTCGTCGTCCTCCAGCACCACGTCTTTCTTCAAACATTTCACCGCGTAAACGCACTCCGTCCCACGCAGTTCGGCCAGCAGCACCTTGCCGAAGCTGCCTTTTCCTAGGACCTAGATATAAGAACAGCGAATTGTTCAGACTGTCGAGACTGAACTTAAGTTCATTAACGAGGGAAAATCCAAATTCGAAAGGGTTAAAACGGTAGAAAGTTCAAGCGTCTAAATAGCGACCCAGGTGAAGGTGCGCCCGTTAAAAATAATGCGTTTGCGTGCTGCTAATTGCGGTGAATCTATTTGCGTGGCGATCCTCCGCAAAATCGTTCGCCCCGATTGAAAAGTAACTCGTTCTCTCTTCGTTCGTTCGAACGCGGTTGCGAAGTATGTGGGACGGAGTCTCGGTGATACAAGGTATCCAATTTTTGGCATTGTCACCGGGCCAATGTGATCGTAAACTTGAAAATCGAACGTTAGCACCTCGTTGTCTGGATGATTTCGCGCCGGAGGCCTCGTGAATCAAGCCGGCCTCACGTGATGTAAATACACACGTGATCCAGATTGGCTTTCGTCGTGCGGCGAGCCAACGAGTTACCCGAGGTGGCTCATAAATTTCCGGGAAACTATATTTACAGATCGTTAGCGGCCGCGGATAGCTCGAATTGCTCGAATCGAAACATTTCGGAGAAGTTTATCGAATCTTCAATGTTTGTGATAGCAGAAGAAATGATGAAATTTAAAAGCATTTCTATTTTCTTAGAAACGCTATAGAATTTGAACAAAGCTTTCAGTCTCGACGAGTCTTATTAACATACAGAAATAAACAATTTGGTAATGGTGTTAGTTTAAGCTTCACTTTTCAATGTTCCAAGAAACTGTTTAGAATCTAAGCAAGGTGTCTTGTTATTTCAGGTACGCGTAGAGAATCCTGGAAGCTGCCAGTACGAATTTTCAATAGAAAGAACTGAAACGAGGCTCGCGGTAAATAAATCAAGCGTTTCATCAGAGGATTTTTCAACCGGGACCTTGGCGGAGGCTTCAACGTCGCGCGTGCGAGCTAAACACAAGCGGTTCTTGTTAAAATTCGTTAACGAGCTTCTCGTTACAATGAGGCGGTAAACTTACTTTGAGAAAATTAAAGTCTGTCAGGGCGTACTTCTTGAATCTTGGCAGGTTAGTCGCCGGCGGTGTGATTCGTCCACTGGGGAAGTGGTCCGAGGAGTCTGAGTTCCTTTGGGTGTCCGATGACTGCGAGGGTGCTGTGGATATCAAAAAGAATGCACCTAATGTTTTGCTTCTGAATTTAAAACACAGGAACAAATGTTAGTGCGATGGGAACAGAGAATTATTTTGATAGAAGATTAGTTGGTCCAATGGTGAAATAAAAAGGTTGCAGTTAATTATGGATGTTCTTCAAGAGGATGAATGCACCTAATGTTTTCCTTTTGAATTTAAAACACAGGAACAAATGTTAGTGCGATGGGAACAGAGAATTATTTTGATAGAAGATTAATTGGTCCAATGGTGAAATAAAAAGGTTGCAGTTAATCATGGATGTTCTTCAAAAGGATGAATGCACCTAATGTTTTCCTTCTGAATTTAAAACACAGGAACAAATGTTAGTGCGATGGGAACAGAGAATTATTTTGATAGAAGATTAATTGGTCCAATGGTGAAATAAAAAGGTTGCAGTTAATTATGGATATTCTTCAAGAGGATGAATGCACAATGTTTTCCTATTGAATTTAAAACACAGAAACAAATGTTAGTGCGATGGGAACTAAGAATTATTTTGATAGAAGATTAATTGGCCTGATGGTGAAATTGCAGCAGCGCATTGGATCCTCTTCTGTGATTTCTTCGAGCCAAGGTACAGCTAGATTAAACGATATTTTCCTGGGATTTCGATTAATAAGCGCATTAATTGTCGATTTATCTCTGGCAGGCGTACACGCTGGATCTTGGCCGGCTGAGATTTTTCGAAAATAGAGCTGACCGTCGTACGACGCGAGGAGGACTTGTAAATGATCGATTAGAGGAGAGTTAAGAAACCGAATTAACGATGATGTCATATTAAATTCAGCTGGATCGCGGTATCGTCCATTGGCCACGAAGATTATTTAGAATATGGATTTATGATTTATGAAGTCGAACCAAGAGCAGCCAAGTTTGACTGCCTTACCAGAAACGTTGGAATGAAATGCAGAGAACGTGACAAGTTAAATAGAAAGAAGAATGAGAGTTTTGTTAATGAATTCTTTTATTAATTATTATAATTTAGGCAAGACAGAGGTGGAAGTTAGTTGATTGAAAATATTTTAACGACCTTGTTGCTATTATGAATCATTATGCAACTGCCAGGTGGTCTCTTGAATAAATTGAAAGTTTGATTAAATTCTTGCAATGTTTGTAACTCGAGTGGCTAACTTTTCTTCTCTGAAAATTGAAACTCACCCCTCTTGAGTGCCTGCAAAGCTTCAGCCACGAGTTTCTGGTTCAATCCGCAGAGATTGCCAGTCAGTTTCTCACATTTCTTGTGGCAAGCCATGTCACAATCTGTTTTCAAATGTTTTCCACGTTGATGCATGTTTTATTTGTCCTTACTACTAAATATCTTTGATGCACCTTGTACACAGGCTATTATTTTTAAACATTGCGTATCAAGTTTGCAAATGATACAAACACTTGAATATATACCATCTGTTTGTCATACTTTCACCAGAGAACACAGATTCAGAGAGAGAACAGTACGCCCTAGTGCTTTTCTCTCAACTGATACCCAATGAACCCACCACCTAACAGCTAAATTTATCTTGTAACTTTTGTATGCAGCTACAGCCACTCGTGGCTGCATTATGATGCCTAGAATATTGTTATGAAACCGCGTAGCACGTTATAAATAGGAGCGCTAAGTTCACAGTCGTGTGGATCAGTTTGAAGCTAACATAGAGAAGAATCAATTAATCATTTGTGATATACCAGTTGAAACCTGATCATGATTCAAGGATGCGAGAGTAATTAATAACTTTGCAAGAAGTGGATGAGAATTTTTGGTTGCTGTCCCTTCCTGTAAACAAACCTAGTGGACAATGTCGTTGAACCTGTGACAATAACCTTAAATGACACTGAGTATCTGGCTTCGCATCTGCAATGGTAACACCGGATGCTTTTGAGGATACTCTGAGAAGACAGCTGAACGTGGAACCATATTGCAACAGCTGATCATTTTCTAATAACTTGGCAGTTCATGAAAGCGATTCTGACTAAATCTGAACTGTATGCCAAAGAATGTTTTATTGATCCCTTGACTTTGGATGTTGCTACTATTGCTAACATTTTGTCATGTTTGTGCGAAGAAAGTACTTTTGCATTTATGAAAATTTTCAGGATTGTACTTCTTGCTTCGTTGCAAAATTGCCTGATGATCTGACTGACTTAGAATCAGGCAATCTTGTTGGAATGATTCCAACAGAAACATTTTTTCTTCTCAGAATATATTAGAAGCTGTTGAACACGCGGAAGGAATTACCTTGGTATTTTCTTTTCACTCTGATTACATGTAACTCGTTGTCAGTTTCAGTATTTCTAACGTGTAACATTTGTGCTACAGAACTGTCTGTGAGTCAGCAAACAAATATACATGCTCAAACGAACCCATAAAATTTTTAAAGCATGCAGAAAGAAAGAAAGAAAGAAAGTAAGCCATGAATATAAGTGACAGAAAACAACAATTTGAATGCAGTTAAGAAACACAGACTTGATACTCGAACTGCCAATTTTAACAATACATAATCAAAAAGCCAAGATATATTGAAACTGCATGAACACCCGTCTTCCCATTGTTTACAAGCACCACCCACGCTCAGAAGAGGCTATAAATTTTACACGAATCTAGTAAACTTCCTGGCAGGTCGGTTAAACAGAGGTCAAGAGTCCTGAGGTAAGACAAATGCATTGGAATTACGCAACGAGTCAGGGTGAGGATGGAGGGGGTGAAGAGCAACGTACACTTGGGTGCAACCTAGTCTTCCTTTGGCTAAGAATAATTACAGAGGCAGGAGTGATCCACCGTTTGCCTCGGATTTTGGGAGAACCCCGAGGAAGCATGTGTTGCACGCAACTGTACACCAGCAGCAAGCAATCCAAAAATACTATATAAACATGTACTCGATATCCTCGGTGAACCGTCGAATCCGGAGTCGTTGCTCCTCGTCGAGTTCATCCTCTTGTGCTCCGGATCGTCGTCGAGCTCCGCGCAGGTGGACCCACTGCTCTCCGTGGTGGCGGTGCTGGTGGTGCTTCCGGTACTGTCGCTGCTGATGGACGGTGTCCTCGAGTGGTGCTTTTTCCTCTTGATCTTAGCTCGACGTACCTTGGACAGATCTCGGGGTGTCGCGGTCAATAGCGCCATGGGCGTTGTGTAGAACATTTTGATGAGATCGATGGGTCGTTGGGTGGGCGAGATCTTGGGACTGTTCGTGGACGGTTCGGAGGGCTTCAGATTCTCCTGCACTTTGGAGGAATTCTTCTTGGTCCTTTTGCTGTCCTTGGATTCTTTCTTGGTGGAGCTCTTTTTGGTGGAGCTCTTCGTGGTAGAAGATTTCTTTTTTCTAACTATTTTCTTCTTTTTGGACGAATCTGGACTGTTCTCCGGGCTGCAAGCCACACTGACGTCCTTGGAAGGAACAGGAGTCACGTCGTTGTCCACCTGGTCCACGTTGGAGAGGTCACTGTGGTTGGTCCATTTGGAGATCTTAGGGAAGTCCGGGTCTGGCCACTCGTTGGTGGGCGTTTTGACCTCGTCCTCCTCGTCTAAGATCTGGGAACCTGTCCTGGTAGGCGTCGCGGTCGGCGTCGGTGTGTCGATGATGTTTATCAACGGCAGAGGCACCTCCGCGACCGGCGTCGAGACCTCGGACACGGGCACCGAGGTGTCCGGCGTGTTGGACACCGAATTTGCGGAAACAGTCGAGGCGTTCGAATCGTCACGCTTCAAAGGAGCCTTCTTCACGGTCGAGTACGCCTCCGAGTTGATGGCCAGAGATAGGTTCTTCTTTCTCAATCCCTTCCTCGGCGTCGAGCTGTCCTTCTCCGCCTCCGACTTCTCTGCGGCAACTGGGGTCGCCTCGCAGCTTGATACTCTCTGCTCAGCGTCGCATTTCGACGACTCCTCCTCGATTACGGGGATATTACTGAGCCCGTGCTGCGCCGCAGCGACGCTTATTTTAGCAGCGGTCTCTTTTTTCTTGTCCAGTTCTTTGCCAGTGAGGTCCTCGACCGTCTGGCGCGGCTCTACATTCTTGGAAGCAACGAAACTGAATTCCCTGTTCACTACCTTCGCCACTTTTGGACTCTCCGGACCCTTGATCTCGCTCCAGAAGTCTATGGACTCTGATGACGTGCTCTTAGACAACGTTCCACTGTCTCCATTCAGGCTTTCATAAGATCTGATCAAGTGTTGTTTATCCACGGGCATCTTGCTGATCAGATTCTCCTCCAGGGAGGTAGACTGTTTCAGGGACTTTGGATCTATCGATTCTGGACGAGAAATAAATTGAGGATCAACGCTGATACTTCTGTCCAAAGATGCACTGTCACCAGGTGTCTTGGACACCTTGTTCCTCCAAGGGATCTTTGATTCTTTCACTTCAGTCTTCGAGGTATTCTGCAAACTATCCTTCAGCATCGGCTTCTTCTCTGCTTTGTTACTCTCAGTCTTTGTACGTTTCCAGGGATCTGCCTCCTCCTTCTTCGAGGTCACTTTCACAGGGATTCTTGAAGCCTCTTCATCACACGTCTTTACAAGTTTCTCCAGACTGGGCTCCTTCGCTTTGTCACCCTTAACATCCTCCACCGGTGTTCCCTTTTTCTCAGCAGCGCTTCCCGAAGCCTCTACCTTCTGCGCGTCGCTCTTGGGACCCTCGAACAAGGTCGTCTTCGTCACGAGCTTCTTACCGATTGCGTCATCGGTGACAGTCTTTCCCAATCGTTCCTCTCTGTCCGAAGGTCGTTTAACCTGGTTCTCGCGTACCGGCGCACCAGATGCAGCCGAGTCGGAGGCGTTCTTCAAGGTCGGGGCTTTGTTCGCCTTCTTTCCCGGTAACGGATAACCGACGTCCTCGTCACGCACGCTTTTCGTCGGCTTTGCCAGGTACTCCGCCTCTGGTAACGAACGCTTTGGCGCTTCTACGGCATTATTTTCATCCGTATTAATTTTAGACGCTTTTGGCAGCCTGTCCGCCACCGATGGAAGCGCTGCACTGGCGCTGTTTTCATTCGCCAGCGGGTCAACACCTAGCACCACGCTCGTTTCGTCGACCATCGTCGAAGCTGGCTTTCCAGTCATTGGAGATTCTTCTTTCTTCAACATGGAGGCATCTGGAGACTTGGGAGAGCCAGGAGTCTTCTTCTCCAGTGGTCCAGTTTTGTTAAATTTAGAAATCACTGGACTTTTTGGAGTTTCCTTCTTCAGTATGGAAGTAACAGGAAACTTAGGAGACTGAGGAGCCTCTTTGCTCTCTACTTCAGTACTGTTCACCTTGAAGCATTCAATTTCTTTTTTCTTTAACTTGGGAGTGGCAGGAGACTTGGGGGATTCAGGGACCTCCTTGCTGCTCTGCTGACTTTCTTCTCTTTTTAATCCAGAAACACCAAGTATCTTGGGTGTCTCTATTTTTGGGCTTTCTGTCTCTTCTTTATTTTCTTCTTTGCTTCCCACAGACTGAAGCTCTTCTTCTACATTCCCCACAGGTCTGATTTTTCTCAAAGGATCATTCTTCACATTCTCAGGCGGTGTCTTCACAGTGAAGTGAACACTGTTCCTGGAGGTGTCCTTCACGTACGGTCTCTTCACAGGTAACACGACCTCCGTTTCGGACTCTTCGTCTACGCTGTCCCTATCAGTCTTACGTATGCCCATTCTTCTAGGCACAGGGATCTTCACGCTCTCCCTGAACTGTTCAACGACCGCATTGTCAGCACCGCCGCTGTTCACCAAGATGGTCGAGAAGTCCCCCACGCTGTTACTAGCCTCGACCTTGAACATCAGAGGCTTCTTGTGCTTCCGTGCCTCCTTTTCATCCGTTTCGAGCTCAACGGAGACGTCACTGGAGGTGCTAGACCTACGTACTCTCGAATCATCCTCGTCGTCGTCGGGGGGCGACGGTTTCTCAGTGGTTTTCTTCTTCTTCTTCAGCTTCTTCAACGTTTTTCTCATCTTCTGCGCGGCCTCCTCCTCCCCCTGGGACGCAGAGTCCCCATCCACGTTTCTGAAGAAACCAGGAACGGTTCTGGGCCCTCCGGCGTTACTCTTCTTAATCAAAGTCCCTCGACGTACCTCGTTCTCGATTTCGGCCTGCTCTTCGGCTACCAGAGTGTCCAGCACCTTAGCCTGCACCTGAGCGTAAGCGACCTCCCTCTCCAACTGTTCAGGGTCCAATTGAATATCCGCGGAGGATCTCCTTCTGGTGAACCTCCTGGTGATCTTGTTGTTTATCTGTTGCAGCTCCTCGTCCTCCTCGTCGCGGTCCAAGCTGATCTGATGGAACAACTGCATACGTCTCTCGGCCTCCTCCAGCTTCTTGTCCTTGATCAGGAACTTCTCCACCAACAACTCGCCCACCGTTTTCTCGTGTCGTTCGTTGTGCTCGCGCAGAGCCGGATTGTCCTTCAACGCTTGCGATCTGATCTTGATCGTCGGTCGATCGCGGCGAAGCCGGTTCCTCGGACGGTTCGCATCCTGATGGTGGATCCTCGGGGTCGACACGTCGATGTCCGCGGTGTCGATCACGCGTCGGGGCCGCGTGGGCACCGATACAGGGGAGTAACGACGCAGGGTGGACAACGGCGACTCGGAGATCGTCGACAGGTGGGGGGAGAACCGAGACAACGGCGTGTGAAAGGCACTACGCGAACATTTCAATTAACTCGGGGCTCGCTAAACCAACGGGAAGCTTCTCTGGTGACTAATTCGGTTTTACGCAAGGCTGGAAGAAATTGTTTACCCTGCAAGCTTTTTACTGTTTCTTATTTTTAACCCTTTAACTGCCGGGTACTTTTAGCACAGCCGATTACATTCTAATTTTAAATTATCTTACTGAAGTGATGTTCTATTTTTAAAAAATTTTGTTTTTATTTTAGTGGTATTGTTTATAAACCACACCTGCAGTTAAAGGGTTAAAATAACATATGAAGAAGCTTGCCTGAGTAAAAAGATTGGTATAAATTATTACTTTGAGATCGTTGTTTAAAAAAAGACTATCATTGCAGGTGGCAAGAGACAGAATGATGGAACGTGCACGGTCATTGTTTCGGTTATTATGCAAGCCCTGAGGAGTTCACAGGCTACTCGGCAATTTTATTGACGCGTATCGGCATGATAAAAGCTCGACTGCCAAACGTTCTGCTCCCCTGGCGCAATACGCGTTGCTAAAGGGAAGCCCGTAGCGAACACTTGTTACACGTATTGCTGAAGTCGTTGCCTATTGTTTTGGCTGGCGAGTGGACAGGATTGATTGACACATTTCCATTCATGAATCAATAGCGCATCTGCCTCGCTGCACGATGGCAAACGAGTGGCAATTGGGCACACGTGGCCGGCAGAAACAATTGCAAATCATGGTATCAGAGTTGCTATCATTTTTCATTGTTTATTGTTTACTGCAGGGGTCGCCAAACTTTTTGAGATTTTTAAAAACAGGGGCGCCGGGGGAGAAATATTCTTATTGAAATTCTGTTAGAACATTAATTTAATGTTTATTAAAATGTACCAAATCATAAAATTAATATTTCTTATATAAAATATTTATAAATAAAAGTTGGAGGCCTTAGTTTGGTGACCACTGGTTAACATATTGGTGAATAAATTTAAGAACAAATATTTTTAATTAATTACAATTAATCTTCTCTGATACCAGAACTAGAATTACTAAGCGAGTCAACTCAAGAACAAATCTTTTTAATTAATTACAATTAATCTTCTCTGATACCAGAACTAGAATTACTAAGCGAGTCAACTCAAGAACAAATATTTTTAATTAATTACAATTAATCTTCTCTGATACTAGAACTAGAATTACTAAGCGAGTCAACTCAAGAACAAATCTTTTTAATTAATTACAATTAATCTTCTCTGATACCAGAACTAGAATTACTAAGCGAGTCAACTCAAGAACAAATCTTTTTAATTAATTACAATTAATCTTCTCTGATACCAGAACTAGAATTACTAAGCGAGTCAACTCAAGAACAAATATTTTTAATTAATTACAATTAATCTTCTCTGATACCAGAACTAGAATCCTCACCAAGTGAGCCAGGTTTCTCATTTATTAAACTGTTTTTGTTGGAATGCATATTGACTCTTGTTGAGATAAACTGTTGTATACGCTAGTTCATGCTTCACTCTTTGTCTGTTTATTTTAAACCGGTTGTTCTAATATTAAAATGATGAAATAAGAAAACACCTTGGAAGATATATCGTTACACTGCCTCACGTTTCAGGTTTACAATATATTTTCTTCAACTCTGAGGATTGAAAATTATGACAGGGTAAAGTGCAGCGTTTCTTGTACCCATTTATTAATCCTGTACCCTCGGTACATCATTTGTAAACGATGGCATCAATCATTTCAGCTTGTTGAAAGTTACAACGTAATTGCTGATCTCGACCGAGGATTTCACTTGGCAAGTGCAACAAGGAACGTTACACACGGTAGAAGTTTTATCACGTGGAAAACGTACGTCCAGACGGAGCAGCCGCTATTTTTAATCCAATCCGTCGTTTCTTGTAATACCTTTTTGATTTATACCGACCTAGCCGTACCGATCAATTAATCGTCACCCAGTACCGTAATCGCTAATGAGTTACTGGTTTGACGAATCGTATGTCATATTCGTGCGTTGCCAAAAATCCTCGAATAACATTCTAGAAAGCTATTATAATTACCGTGGAACCGTTCACGTTTCACGGTCTGTTGCAACACGAATTTTATTTCACTTTCAAGAACGAAAAAAACCAGGGAAAAACATTTCTATTTTCGTTGCCGCAATCCTTTGTTGCGAACGGACGTCGCGTTCACGTAACTAGCCACCAGAGAAACCTCGAACGTCACTCCACGACCAAGAATAATGGGAAGAAACGAGGAAAGGAGATATCTACTTTCAACTGAGAGACTATATTTTCTATGGAAATAACAATGAATATCTTTGTTTGTCAAAAGCAAGAGACTAGGTACAGTAAGAAGGTAAAAGATGAAAAAGATATTTTTGAAAAGATTCAAATTTAAAAGCATAATCAGCATAAAATTGACAGAGATTTATTTTTACAGGGAAGAAAATAATCAGCTGACGAGGAAGAGAAGTGGATGGAACCGAAGAATGAAGAGATACCTTACCGTGGACCACCAGTCATCAGTGAACTGTGATTCGAGAAAGCCCCCCCATAGTAATAGGGCAGACCGTCCCCGTAGTAAGGCATGATCGAAGCGTCCAATTATCCACTGCGTTCGCGGTGTAGCCGAGGGTTGACCTTATAAAATAGCACCAATGTAGTATGGGGGAGCAGCGGCACTAGCGGTTAGACGTTCTCGAATACGACTGAGCGCGCCGCGGAATCGCCGGCCGAAGACGCGTTCCCTCAGGTGTTCGCGAAGACGTTCTCACGGTTCAGGGAGCCAACGGTGACTGAGTTTAAGCCAGCGACCCAGTGTAATAATAGAAGTCTAGTGTACGAGGCTTCCTAGCGACTAACTATACTAGCTGGACTCTAATAACCCGTGCAACAGTCTCCGCCACCCCGTTTGCGAATAAATATTTGCGTTTTCTGATTGTTGCCTTTACGTGACTCACGATCAGCAGACGGTAACTGGTGTCTGGTAATTGAAAAAAATTTACCAGAAACCAGAGTTCAATTAGACCTTTTATTTCTTATGGTATTTAGTGCCATGTCAGGAATATGAAAGAATGTTAATTTGTAGGAATTCAAACAGTGATTACGTAAAGCAATGTTCAAGATGCGAGTAGTTTTCTATTTATAAGCGATGGAAGATTATTAAGAATATTTTGTAATTCAGTAACGTCAAGGAAACGACTCGATTGTTGGCACAATCTTGACCGTTCTTTAACGCCTTTACGTTCACTCGGATGATAAATTTCAAATGTTTAAAAAGAAAATTTGTTAATAGAGCGATAAACCTGCGATTCGAACAGAGAAAACAGGGCACACGCATGCTTATAGTGACAGAACACCGTCTCGTGTTGTTTCGTGGTTCGCGCCAAATACTTCTTTCCTTCGTCGCCTATTGTTACTGGTTCAGAGAATCTTGGGAATAGCCAGATTCTATTTTGAATCAGAGTGGACTTAATATCAGAATAGACATAGTCAACTTGAGGTGTACAATTGAAATCAATCTTTTTAATTAAGTCTTTTGTAAATTGTTTCAAGGTGCATCAAAGTTGAACGATGAAGTATTTTCATTTGTTACTCACCGTCGCATCTCAGACCTTGCCTGAAGAATCCATAGAGCAGGGAACCGCAATGGTCGCAGAAGGTCGGCGACATGAATGTGTGAGGCCGAAACCTGTGAGGTACATCTACCTTGAAACGCTCCCTCAAGTACTGCCATTGAACAAGCATTCACAGAATTAGCATGTGGCTGAGTTTCAATAAACATCATCAATGTGTAGAATAAACAATTGTAATTATTTGTGGAGTAAGTAGCATTCTAGATAATCTTTTCTTAATTAAAAATTAAAAGGAGTAATCCTTATTAAGGAATAAGGAATACTAAATTAAATGCAAGTGGATTATCTATAAGAAATAAATAAGAAAACTAATGTCATCCATTTTTTCAGTATCAGATGTTTGAATAATTGATACAACTTGGCTGATAATTAACAATTAAAAATTAAAAGAAGTAATCCTTATTAAGGAATAAGGAATACTAAATTAAACGTGTAAGAAATAAATAAGGAAACTAATGTCATCCATTTTTTCTGTTTCAGATATCTAAATAATTAATACAACTTGGCTGATAATTATCAATTAAAAATTAAAAGAAGTAATCCTTCTTAAAGAATACTAAATTAAATGCAAGTGGATTATCTATAAGAAATAAATAAGCAAACTAATGTCATCCACGTTAATATGCTTCTGGTGAGTAAAGTAAAATTTAGATATGATGTAATACATTGCCAAGTGTGCACGTGTTGCACCTGTGATAACAATTCTTACCAATTCTTTTCAAAATCCATAAGAAACAGTGCATTCCACTATACTATTATAAAATGGAGAAACTCCACGTTGATCAATCAGTGCCACTTATTTCCACAAAAATTTAAATTTTCATTAAATTTCAGGTACAAAGAAGAGGACAGTCTGTCTTAAGGATCATCCGAGAAATTTTGTTCATTAACGAATGGAACGTTTCTTTTCTGTCGCAACGCGGAGGAAACTCGCAGGACCTCTTGAAGGTTGCAGATGCGGACACTTACTATCGTGTTTTCCGATTCCCTGCCGCTCTCCGGACACTTGGTCAGCAGTTTATCGTGGCACTTCTTGTGCACCGCTGTTTGGCAGGCTGGTAACCGCGAGAGATGGAAATATATTAATAGAGAGAGCAATGTTGTATACACGAGCGCGTGGTCGTTATAGATAGAAAAAGTGATGCGCGAATTTAATATTTACCTTGGCACTGGTATCCCTGCTTTCCGAAGCCCCTGCGACAGAAAGAAAGCACGCGTTTTGGGTGAATCGAGAGAGTAAAAGGGAATTGTCTGCTGGCTGAGAAATAACCGATACTTTTGAGTAATGCCCGTACAATGAAACTATTTTTAGATGCATAAGCGTATCGAGGAGGCAACTCTCTTATGATAAATCGAGATTCCTTCGGTTATTTACCAGTCCACCGCGCTGAACATTCTCGATAAACGTATCCTCTATGGGTGTGCGATGTTTCTTTTTAATGACGCCTTTGGATACTGTATGTCAGTTTTATGATCATCATTAAAAAGGCTGGGGACTTAAGAATGTTTGAGACTTTCAGGGTACCCTTAGGCCCTTGATGAAACCAAGGGTTGGTAATCTATTTTTAAATATGACTTATATAGAAGCCTCATAAGGGAGTGGTCAAAAGTGAGATGGTAGAGTTTATAGTGCCATTTTTGACTGCCATTGGCAACGGGCTCAAAAGTTATGGGACTTTGAAATGTTCATATTTGTAAGTGTAAATTGCATTACACATGCAATTTTCCCTGAAATTCATCTTAATTGTTAGTAAACATCTAATCATCTCAAATTCATGCCTTGTCATTTTTATACTTAATTTTCACTTCATATTTCTAATCATTTAGACTTTAAAATATGAAAATTTCAAAGTCCCATGACTTTTGAACCCTTTGCCAATGGCACTCAAAAATTGCACTATAAATTCCTCATTTCATCTCTTTGGAATAAACATAGTCTGGATGAGCAACTCTACCATCCACTTTTGACCATTCCCTTGTCAGGCAGTGTTAACCCTTTCGCTGCCACGGTGGTCCCATGGGACCAGTGCTTGCCTTTTCATTTGGGCCATGGTGGTCACCACTAATTATAAAAAAAATGTGCTATTGGCAAGATTGTAAAACATTATAAAATTTTTAATATGAAATTTCTGGCCCACTGATGCAAGTTCAAAAATTCGCCTGGCAGCGAAAGAGTTAAGGGGGTAGACGCGGGTAATGCAGCGAGTGACATTACCGACAGAGATGGGACTAACAGGGGGTTCAGGAAATTACGTTTTTCGCCCTTATATGGGAACATTTAGGGCTGGGTGAGGGCTCATTCGAAAGAGGAAGGTCCAATGCAGGGCTGTATGGTCAGGGTTCAACGAAATTTTGTTAATTTCTAATAATACGACAAAATACATCCGCAGAATCCAAGGTATTTTTAGGTCACTGACTCAAACGGTGCATACCGATGGAATAATTTTTCTATTCTCTATTTATGCGTCTAATTTACCAGAGAAAATCCTTGCAGAATGCGCAGAAGGTCGGCGTTCTGAAGAATTTGGCGACCAGTCTGTGTCCACGAACAATGTGCACCTTGTTGTGTTTCACCGCGCCCCTTCTCCTGGTGATGGCACCGCCGACGTTATTTTCATGCGGTAACGTCGACGCAGAAGCTATGTCTCGCCGAGGGACCCTGGTCTTGTACACGTATTTCCCTGTAGACGTCGAGGGCGGTAGATCAGCTGGATTCAGTACTGGTATTCGTGTTCTGAAACAGCAGGAGCCATGAAATATTTTTTTATTTATATTTATATATATATTTTAGTAGACACTTTGGATTGCCTAATAATGTATCAGGAGCACGTACCGACTGGCTCACCTGTATGTGTATCCTTCCGCACCCACGCGTGCCTGTGGGCTTTTATGGTTCACGGAGGACCTCCGGCTGGAGCCGGAACCGCCTCCAGCGTTGCGTCTCCTCGCATGGGAACCACCGGTGAACATCATCTTCCACCGATTCAATTCACCACTTTACCATTTATCATCAACAAATTCATTGGATCTAATTCAATAGCAAAAGTCTGTTATTTAATAAGGATTGATAAGCGCGCCCTCCTTTCAGGTGCTATCTCTTCAGCTTTCCGTTAGGAATTTCGCCGCTTCTCGCCGCGTAATGCCAGAAGAATTTTCGTCCGTCAGCCAGCAACATCCTCGCCCGAACACGCCTTGAACGACGCATCGATCACTTCCGCTTTCAACGATTCCAGCTTTCAGAAGAGACTCGGATCATCCTGAGCAGCTAATAAAATTAACAATTAATACTCTGATGGCCGGTGTATCAGTAGCTATGGCGCTATTAATTTTGAAGAGATGAATAATTTTTTGAAAATTTTCTAGATAAGAAAATAATTATTTTTTAATTATAGTACTAATTGCTAGAGCTAATAGTGCCCTATTAAGTATAATAAGAAATATAAATTCACTAAAGGCTGTCATAGTATTAAGATGAATGATGGGATAAATATTGTTAAGAGAACCTTTTATAAGAAATTTGAAGGAAACCGTTTATATTCTAAATGTCCCTGTTTGCGAAGGCCACGCTTTTGACAAATTGGAAGAATGACTAATACACAGAGAGGATGTGTTACATAGACCTATGCCCCAAGGGAGACACTGGGTAACTGTATACCTTTCTTTATTATTATTATTATTTTTTTAAATTTACTCTTCATCTATGTTGATCAAACGTCCGGGCACGATTCATTGTTTCATCAGGGACGTCTTGTGACCAAATGTAGCGCTAAGAGATGTAGAAACGTCAGGGTAACGCGGGTTCAACTGGTCGCACTTGGTACACTTGAATTATTTCTTGAAATTTCTCAACAATCCCACCGACTGATCCCGTTATCAAGTTCGTTGGATATTCATGGATAGTTGAACGAATGTTGACGGACAGAGGAACTGGATTTTGACGCCTAAAACGTTGTAGGTTTGCACGAAACTCTCGGATCTATAAATATCAGCCTGTTGAATGCCGCCCGCCATCGGTTCACCCAGCGCCACCGGTGGCAAATATTTTAGAATTACCTCGTCGAGCGGGTTTTCCAGGCTGGAAAAGCAATCTAAATCTTCCAGATAAAGATTCCAGTTTCTTTATGAAGAATCCTATTTTCTGTTGCTTATCAATTTCCTTGTAATACTTTTTATTCAGGGTGACAAAAATCAAATGAAAGGGAAAGGTATATTTTAGGATATTTCACCTTGTATATAAACTGAAATGAAAATTGTATAAAAGTTGCACAATCTTGTGGAAGTCGTATAATAATTATACTTTTATTCCTTTGGAAAGGGTTAAAGAGATAAGATCAATTTTGTATATAAATGGAATAGTAGGTTTTATTTTCATAACATTTCCCAACAAAATAAAATTATTTATCACTCTATACTGACCCTTCGTAAACTTGGATAACTTTTGTAAGAAACTTGAATGACACTGTGAAACATCCTTCGCAGGAGCAATGAGAAATGTTGAATAAGGATCTCACCGTATTAAATATAAAGTATCTTTTTTATTGTTTAGATTATCCTAAAACAAGAGATTTTTCTGAATAGCTCTACTAATGTGTAACAGTTTTAAAATGTATATGTTTCCATTCTTAAGACGGTAACCACAATTCTCTTCCTCTGCGCCTCTAATTTAGGATCCTTCTTCAAAGGTGTCTTTTTATTCGCAGATCCCATCGGTGAAATGAAAACACAGACTTTCTTTAGGTAGCTTTGTTTCTTTTTATGCAAACATTTGTATTCTTTTTTTTTTTCTTTTTTCCTTCTTTTTCCATTCTTATGATTAACGATGTGTACAGTGAATCTGTTTTCTGTAATATAGCAAGTACAGAGAAATGTATTTATTGGTGATTGTATTGTTAGATAGAGTTAAGTAATATCCTTTTCTTTTTTTTTTTTACTTTCTGTTACTGTGTATGTGTATGTGTGTATATCACGTTAAGGACTCGTGAATTCGTCCTTCGTCTCCCCCGTCGTGACAGAAACGCGAGTCTTCGTGTGATAAATATTGCTAAGCGAAATTAAAGAAAAGCCGCCTCGAGCACAGCCTTCTTACGTCGCGGACGCGACGAGGAAACGGCGCGTTTCTCTTAAACGCTATGTACAACTAAAATGAGAAATACAAACAAGTTGGATCAATCGCGTTATATTTTGTGCTTAACAGAGTCGTGTCGCAATCGGAGATTGCAACTGCAACCGTTTCCTCGTCGCCGGACACGTGTCCATTGAGCTGTTTCACTTTCGCTACACGTTAAATAACCAAACTAATAGTAACGTCTTAGAAAGTATAATATTTATATATATATATATATATATATTTATATATGTATGTATAGCCGACGAGAAATAGAATTCTAAATCGATACGAGCATTGCTACCGTAAAAGTTGAAGTGATTCCTTACAAAGAGAGAGGCTGACTTCTTATTTTTGAAAAAATTAAAACGTTGCCCTGGTTTTCGTTCTTTCGTTTCACGCTACAGATCCATGATCTAATTATTATACTATTATCAAAAATCTCTACCTAGTCGTTCCATGACTCGCGAATAAAAAAAAAAAAAGAAAACACCGTTTCGAAATCCATGTAAAAGAAGAATATCAATTAGGAATGATTACAAAAAGACTTGGTGCAATTGCAAAAATCAGAAGAGATCCGTTTGGCCTACGATTTCTTGCCTTTCATTTTTCTTTCTTTCCTGTCTGCCTGCAAACATTGGTGCCACGGAGGTTCGAGGTGTAAAATCTTCCTTTGAGGAAGGCACAAATCATAGTCATTCTATTGCGTACGTGTACTAGATAGGGCCTCGTTTAACTTGGGGGGGGGCGGGGAAAAAAAACCTTTTCTTCATTCACGTGTTAGCAACTGCATTGCGTAGGTTCGAATGACGATAATTATGTATGATGGTCTCGCAGGGATGATTGGTTGATCGTCAGTGATCGGCGGCTAATTTTTTAGGCTGCCGTTCCTGTGCACGCTTCAGTCGTGCCTGCAGCAAGAAGTGAAGAAGTTCGATCTCCTTAGGCGCCGCTTGAACGATGAAGATTCTGATGTCCCCGTGTACGTCCATCGCTGTTAATCTCAGGGATTTCGGGGCTGCCCGTTCCGCGGTCATACCTGGCCACACTTTTGTGTTTAAAATTAATCTCTGCGTACCAGCGGTGCGACCGACCAACCGGGACTCTTCGTCGCGGTCGTTTAGCCGCAGCGTACCCCTTCCCCTCTCTTGCCAGCCACCGCTAGCCTAAATATATAAAATACAATTTGTTACGCCGGCGATTACAGTGATTATTTACAGGAGAATTTATCGGTTTTTATCTACCTTGTCGAATGCGAACAGTTTACAATTTATTTGGAGGACGTTTGTTTCACCTTCCTCGCCGGTTAACAGCGTTACTTGACTATATTTCCTTTTATTCGCCCGGTTCGCTTCCTCCAGCTCCTGGGCCGCTTCCGTTAACGTCAGACCGGGACGGGCGGTCGTGCGGCAAACCGCGGATGCGTTCGAGAATAGAAGCTCCGAAGAACCGTTCTCGTTCGCGGTCTCCTCCTTTGGTTCTTCGCTCTCCGATTTCTCGGAACTCTCCGCGTCGTCCGCGACCACGACACGTTCCTTCAGGTTCTGGCCGAACACGAAGCTCGGCTCCGAGTCGCACGAGGACACCGTGCTACTATTTACAGTATTATTTTCGCTATCCTTTGTGCTCGCTCCTAATGGTAAAAACGTAGGCTTCGTCTCCTCCGTTGGTTTCTCCTTCTCCTTCTCCTTTTCCTTCTCTTTCTCTTCGCTCTTAGCCTCCTTCGCTTCCTTGGTCTCCTTCTTTTGATTTACAGTATCGTCCTTCTCTTCTAAAAAATTCTCTGTCACTTTAGCGAATGGATTCTGAAACTTTGCCGGCTGTAAGACTACTTTGTTCGCCGTCTGATTGTTCGACACTGCACCCAGCTGAGATGGCCTCAATATGGATGACTTTGTTTTATTAGGCGAGGAATTGGCAAAGTCGCTGCTCCCAAACGGATTTCCAAACTTTGATGCCGCTAATACAGAACCTAAAGATGAAAAATTTCATTGGTATCTTAATAAATACTAGGAACTGGTTTGGCGATACTTTACCTTGTATTTTATTGGCTGGTTTGTTGGAACTTGACGATGATTCTTGGACATTATTCTCTGTAGCTGCATTTTCCATTTCTATTAAAATAATTTACATATATAAAACATCATTCCATAAGTGTTATCACGATTGCAGGCTGTAATGTTTACACAATTATTCTTATAACGATTCAATCGGTATCATAACCTATATGTTGAATAATACTTATTATTTAAGGTGTTGAGAATCAGTCAAGCAATACTGTGAAGCAACAAAAAATCGTGAAATAAAATATCTTAAACGAAGTAGATGCTATAAAAAATGTTGCAAGAATATTACTTATTTAATGTGGAAAAACAACAGTGTATTTACCACTGTTCGAATTTTCTGGTGAATCCCCTGGTGAATCCCCCGGCGAATCCTGCGGTGGATCTACCTTTAAAACATACGATGGCCTATTTGTTTCCTCTTTGTTTTCTGCATAAAATACAAAACAAACAGTTGTATTATTGTCAGAATGAGTTCCATCAATCTGTCGAAACACTTGCACAAACGAGCATTACAAGAAACGGTTAACAAAAAAATTCTATATTCGTACGGCAAACACGTTAACGGTATAACAATGATTATCTAAACATCTTTAATAATTAATTTACATGATTCTGCACAATTTATTGATAGTTTACTTAGGAAAGAATCACAAAACGCACCCTTGCAGTCCGCCATTTTTTACGTGGAAGTGCTTGGATGCTGCCATCTAGTCGTATCGTTTAGAAACAGAAAAAAGAAAAATAAAATGTCCACGGATCGCATACATACACTCATACATCATAATTTCGTAGAAATAATATCGGATTTCTTTCTTTGAACACAAAAATCTGGCGTTGTTTTACAAATACGGTATTTCGTTTTATTTATTCTTACAATATTTGTCGAGATTAGTCTATTATCGAAAGCTAGTCGATACATTTATGGTTAGAAGTTATACATATAACATATTCCTTACAAATAATTTGTATGCATTATTTTCCTGTTCAGTAACCGTTTGAAAATATTATAATGAATTCTGATGTGCTTCTTTCAGCTGTAACGTTTCAAAATCATCGAAGCGTATAAGAGACATACTTCGCAAAGCTGTCCCTTGCCTTGAATTTAAGGAGCAGGGTCGGCCCTAGGCAGACTAGGCGGCCGCTTAGATTGTTTATTTGAATATTAATCGAAAATGTAAATGCAAATCTAAATTAGTTATACAAGTTTTAATGTTATTTTTATAAATTTTGTTTTGGGTAATTTTTTTTATGTAATATATGTGAAGAGGCCCTTTTTCAGAGCTCCCCTCGGACCCTCGAAATCTCAGGGCCGGCCCTGTTAAGGAGTCAGGATAAAAGCTATTCGAAAACAGATAACCTTAAAATCTATCCCAATCAATAACTGAATTTGGTTAATTTTTACAAAATCCGTGCCTCCGAGCGAAGGGCCCAGGGTAAGCTCCTCCCTGTCCGCCCAGCGCTAGGTACGGCACTGCTTTTGTATTTTTAATTTGAACACGTTTTACTGCATTAATTTAAATATATTATAAAATTCGAAAGTTTGAGATATTTTAAATTTCATTCGTTAGCTTCTTCGTTTGATTTTTAATCACCGCTACTTTCCCGCGATAATGAGCAAATCATTAACCAAGGATATGTTCAGAGCGGAATCTTACAAAATAAGTTCAAAATAAATATATTTATATAAAATTGTGCGTAAATATTTTCTGTTTATACTTAAATCGTTCAAATAAATATAAAACGACACGTGTTCGGTTTATTCATAACTTGCTTATCGTAAATTGAAATTTTTTTGTTTTTCAGCTAAAAGCAGCGACATTCACGGTTTCGTAAATTTATCCTTCAAGTTATCAAGTTTACCACGATAACGATTAGGAATTAACGGTTTATCGAAGATTTGTGTATATTGAAATTTATTGGCAGTGGTAGCCGTATCGCACGAAGGACAGGAGTGGGGGAAACATAGCTGATTATACTTTCCATGGTTTATACACCAGTTCTGTAGTCTCATTTAGCCTTGTAACAGTGGCTGAGACCGGTTGTGGATACTGTTTGTTTAATAACTGTAAAATTTTCATTATTAAACCACAATGTCTCTTGTAGAAGTAAGTATTTTGTTGTCAACTGTATTCATCAATTAATAATTCTCTCTTTATATTAGTTTTTCAGTTTCTTAAGTGTGATGTATATATTTTTTAAATTTTATTAGAGAATGCAAGAACACCATGCTTTCATTCCTGTATTTTTTCAGCAATTTGAGAAAGCTGCGGAAGAAGTGAAGGAACTGAGTTCTCAACCTTCGGACGCTGATCTACTCGAGCTTTATTCATTGTTTAAACAAGCAACTGTTGGCGACTGTAACACAGGTACATTTAATAATTTCAAGTTCCTTCTGTACATCTGATTAGCTAAAAATTGTGGGATGTTTTGTCATAGGTGTAAAAGCATTGGTATACTTAGAGAAAAGACTTATTTAATATTCGCCTTTCCTGAATATATTAAAGGTGACTGTGCACTTTGGATCTTCATTTGCAATGCTGATCAGTGTGATGGAAACATGCTAACATTTAATATACATATTTTCTGGGACTTTAACAATAACTTTCTGTCTAGTATTATAATTACATTATCATTTCTAATGAACAGTGTAATTTTTTTTCAGCAAGGCCAGGCATGCTAGATTTCAAAGGCAAAGCGAAATGGGATGCTTGGGATCGTATAAAGGGCATGAATCAAGATTCTGCTAAGGAGAAATACGTTCAGAAGGTGAAACAGTTGGTATCTTCCATTGGAAAGAAGTAACGTCTTCAAGGATACATTGTATAAAACTTACTTATCAACTTCCATAACTTTTATACTCTTATCAATGCGGATGTACTATTTTTTGTTCAACTTTTTTGTATGGCAGAGTGGAAAACGTTTTAGATACTTTATAGAGTTATTTAGCTTAGTTGTTTCTGAAATAATTTGTTACTTCAAAAGTAATCGTTATCTCGTGTTGACGATTATAATTGAAAAAATTGATACGGCCACAGGAATTGATAAGTCAGAAATCGATGAATTAATTCAAGATGATTCTTTATCCTGGTAGCTGGATTTATTTCGCTATCAATGATTCGTTATTTACAACGCCGATACTAAGTCAGCGTGTTCTCTTTACACAACGAGACGTGACTGTTACGTACATAATTCTTTAGAGTACATCAATAACGTTTATCAATACCTTCTCAAGGCGCATAATGTTAAAAGTATTAAGAAGAAACGAAAGAAAGAATTCTTTTTTTTTTTTTTTAAGAAAACTTTTACACCTTTTGCTTAATCTGTTTATATAATTACAATTATTCAGGTGAATCCATTTATGTATGGATTTGTAACTTCATTGACCTCTCTCTGAATAAAACATAAGAAATAAATAAATGTTACTTTGATACAACAGAATGTTCATCTAATAGAAAAACACATCCCATCTAAAAGAAATACTGTCTATGATGAATGAGAAGTATCGATGAGAAACATGTGGTGAATGGAATCAACAAAAAAAGTTTATGATATTTTATAGTATATTAATTAATGTATTTTCTCCACGTAAGTATGACATTTTCTTCCTTATCATTATATACACATACGCAAGAAACTAACTAAGAAAAAACAAATAGGATTACGACACTTAAAATTCTTTCAGGGAGTAGACAATTCCTGGAACAGAAACATCTAACCCAAATTACAGTTCTACTAAAGAGGAACAGATTATTTTCAACATGATCATTTTCAAATGAAAATTAGAAAAAAAATATTTATATTAATTAATCATGAACGTGGTCGTAATACAATTTTTACCCTCCGAGGTTAATGGTTATGGCTGTAAGAGTTAAACGTGTCCCTAAATAAATTTATATATCAATGCGAGAGAAGCACATCCACGTGTGTATCTTATTCGCAGAAACATTTATATGTAATTAGAGCGTATCGCACGTTAAACTCGTTAAAATCAGTCGTAGCATTTCATTTTTTTTTTTTTTTTTTTCACTTTTCATATTCTCGCGACTTACATACGAGTAAAAATCTAATTAATTATAACTTACGAGATATTATGAATTATAATCCGCTAAGAAACTAAGGATAAGCGAAACTTACCGTGGATAATTATAAACGTTAACACGCCAGATTTTGAAACTAAAAGTGACGCGTCTAGTAAAAACGCAAGAGAATGTGTGAATGAAAAATTTCTCTATTATCTTTCTTTTCTAATGAAAAAATTCGAATAAGAATGTTCAGTATAATTCCTTACAACGGGCTACTTTGCAAAGAATTTATTCATCGTTTTAAGAGACAGAGACATGATCGGTGAATGCTAATCGGTCAACTTTATATACCGATCGGTTTCGAACAACAAAAATAACATGTTATCTGATAAAATTTACATCTGATTAATGGTCATGTATATGTATGCGTGTATGTATGCAGGTGTATCTGATCCAAAAGAAACGAAGAGACCAAAGAAGAATAAAAGAAAATTTAAAAAAAAAAAAAAATGAAAAATAAAGTACGGTATTAGAAATGAATGAGAGAAGGCTGCAAATAAATTGTTGCCTCTATTTTCTCTTACTCTTATCGTGCTTCTTAGCGAGAGGTGGATGATGGTGCGTCTTTATTCTGCTAGCCTTCTGATGGTCACCGTGGACTGTTCTCGAGTTCTGGCCAGCCATCGCGATATCGCTGGCACTGTCACTCAGCGGTTGGCGACTCGTCGATGACTCGTCAAACCTGGTAAAAACAGAGAAGGTGACGGGAACAAAAGCTCAGTAGCATTCTCACTGGTTCGCTTAATATTGTTAATTCCAAAAATTTAAGCATCATTGTTTTTTGAACGAGGCTCGATCGCTCGAGCAAGGAATCCCAATCACTGTCATCGGAATATATTTCGTCGAGTAAATCCGCCGTTTCTTTTTTTCTTTTGAACGTATATATATATATATACCGCAGTTCACCAGAGTCCATAACTGCGACGCGCAGGTTGGAAGATGGTGGGGGAACGCAGGGAGCTCTCTGCCAATCGCATTCCACTTCGTTTGGGTGTATCGCCAATCAGGGCGAAGATGCGCAGTAGAGATGCGCGAAGAACGAAAATTGGTCTTTTCGTAGTTATGGACTCTGGTGAACTGCGGTATGGTTTGCTGTGTGTTAACGATAATGTTATATATAATAATAATCTATGTATATGTACATGTATATTTTGTTATCTCGTGTACAATAATGCGGTTGAGAAAAAAGTGCGTCGACCAGCGGCACAAAACATTGTTAATTTAAATTAGCATTATTCCAACGAGATACGAAGCCAGTCGATGGAGACGATATCTAGATTAAGATACGAAGAGAAACCGCGGTGACGATTCGTTGAAAAACGATTACACTTATTTCTTTCTCTCTTTCTCTTTCTCTCTCTCTCTCTCTCTCTCTCTCTGTCAGGTAGATAGGTAGCAGGAACACAAAGACATCTCGGTAGAGCGCAGAAATATTACTCGCAAATTGTGACACGACGACAGAAATTTCTCAATTGCTGCTGAGCGGAGATCGAGCGAGCGTTCTTGGGATGGTAGAGATCTGTATTTAACTGTACGTTATTGATTGTGGCACGCCGTTCACCGTCTTCGACTTCAGCACGTCGTTCTCGTACGACATTATCGTTTCCTTGCCATTCTCGAAAACTCTGCAAAGGAAACGGGTCGTAAGTTTTGGGATTACGGTGGTGTTCGAATAAACCGGAACTCGAGTAACTCATGGTGATGGGGGGGTTGCTGGGGTGATTCTGAACAACTTTTTCCTTTGGCAAAATGTCGTTCCAGGCTTCGTTTTTGAGTTATTAACGAAAAACACTGGCCAATCAGAGCGCGCGCTCAGCCACGAGAGCGTTGGCTGTGAACCACGCTCGGTCGTGAACAAATATTTTAAATTAACCCGGTACGGGGCAGGGCCAGTTTTAGCAATATTGGCGCCCCGGGCAAGATTATCGTAGCACCCATTGAGCGGCTCAGAATTTTTATGAAAAAAAGACAAGGTAATAATATGAAACGATGAATCTGTAGTTAGATTGTAAAAATTGTTAAACTACGTAGCAGCTTTACTAATTGAAACGGATATAAATGAATAAATACTAGGGACACCGGGCTGTGGCGCCCCAGGCGATTCCCCGTCCGCCGGCCCTGGGTACGGGGCAATCCTAACTCAGACGCACTTAAATAATAAAAATAATAAAATAATAATCTCGTAAATACAAGAAATACAATGTAATAATATTCTGCTCTACCAAAATTAAAAATGAATGCGAAATTCACCGTCTAGTGGGACGGGTGACTAAAGTCACCGTTAGTACCGAAAGGGTTAAGAACCATGTGGAATTATTCGTTATTCATGAATAACAAATGCGCTTGTTCACGACCGAGCGCGATTCAAAGCCAACGCTCAACCACGGGAGTACCGAGGGCAGGGCCGGCGTTAGGGTGGGGCGCGGTCGGGCAATCGCCCAGGGCGCCGCAGCCCGGTGTCCCTAATGTTTATTCATTTATATCCGTTTAGATTAGTAAAGCTGTTTAACAATTTTTACAATCTAACTAAAGACTCATCGTTTCATATTATTACCTTGTCTTTTTTTTTTTTTAATTTTGAGCCCCTAAATGGGCGCCACGATAATCTTGCCCAGGGCGCCAATATTGCTAAAACCGGCACTGATCGAGGGAAGCGTGGGATGAATGTTACATTGTCTTAAATTAAGAACAATGTGGAATTAGTCGCCAGCTTTGTCAATGCATTTGTTCACGACCAAGCGCGGTTCAGAGCCAACGCTCCCGTGGTTCAGCGCGCGCTCTACGCGCGCTCTGATTGGTCAGTGTTTTTCGTTAATAATTCAAAAACGAGACTTCGACCAAGATTTTGGTAAAGGAAAAAGTTGTTCAGAATCACCCCAGCAACCCCCCATTTCCAGGAGTTACGCGAATTACGAAACACCCTGTATAATTATTCCCTTACTTTTTGGTGGTTATCTTTTTGCCGTTGATAAATCGTGTCGAGGTACTTGTTCGCTTCATAGCCCCACCGCCGGTGTTACCGTCGAACGTTGTGAACGTGTTGAAGGAGGTGAAGTTTCCTGACACACCTTCGAACAAGTTGTTGAACTGTGAGAAACCACCAAAACCTAACGGGCCGAAGAAGGACGTGCTTATGCTGTTACTGCTTGGATGACTATGCCTGTTGGATCCTCGATGAACACCGGTTCCAGTGAGGTCTTTGGGAACATTCGGTTAAAAACAAGTTAATCACACGGTCTTCGAAACTAAAAGAATCTCATGGGCGGGGGAAAAAACTATTATTCGATTAATCACTGATATCTCATTCATCGTTCAACAAAAAAGGTTGGTTATGTCATTCATTGGTCTCTTCATTTCAAGGTGTACAATGGGTGACACACGATACAGTTTCAAAGGTTCAGAAAGGTTCAAAGTTGTTCGCTTACCAGAGAACAAGTCCTCGAAGGAGCTGCCACCAAAGAATTCCCTAAACACTTCTGCAGGATCTCTGAAGACAAAGGTGCCAGCAAAGTGTGCATCAAAGTCGTCCTCGTGTCGTCGTTTGCCTCCAGACATCTGAAGACCATCCTTTCCATACTGATCGTATACTCTCCTTTTCTTTTCTGGAAGGGTTACAAGATGAAATCTGATTATTATTGGTCATGCGATAAGAAGTGGAATGCATTTTGTTTAGTTTTATTCGCTCCAAATTCCAAGAAGCAGGTACTGCAAGGCTTGTCGTGTTAGTAGAGTACGTTGGATGGTTTCTAACACCAGTTGATGGCCCACCGCAACAACAAAATCAATGTATAGAAAACAACTTAGAATATTAATGAACAAAGAGAGGTGACTGGTATTTGGGATACTCGAGTGTCAGTATAGAAATCATTGAAGGACTAACTGTTTAATTAATTATTTAGGCATCCTTGGCTAACGAAGATCATAACATTAGCCCTTCAAAGATGTACCTGTTTAAGGTGAAACTACTGGCGTACATTGGTCGTTCTCTTATTGGTCAATGGCAAATGGTTAGAAATGCGATATGATACAGGCAATATTATCTGCTTTTTTTAACGACGACTCATACACCGAGTGAAAGAGAAAAAAGTATCTTCCTAGTTTTGTAAAGAAACCTTTGAATCCGATGTTGGAGATGGGAGTTACACCTCGAAGGCATGAATAAGGGATCAGGTATCCGATGAATCTTTCAGAAAATATTGGCTATTTCAAGAAGACTGTATCTGTGTTGAAACGGCAAAATAAAACTGAAGGTGGATGATTGGAGAGCAATACAGAAAATTAAAAAAAAAAAAAAAAAAAAGAAAAAGAAAAGAAAACGCTTGGCCACTCTCAAAGTCTTTTTTTCTCTTAAGCGGTACCGAAATATCGCTGGAAAGGAGAGTCAAAGTAACTCCGGTAGGTGAATCCACGGCCGGGCCTCGAGGATGCCTTCTGATACAATCGTTGGTCGTAGGTTCGTCTCTTCGCATCTGGACATCGAGGACGGTCACGAGAGATCATCCGGAAACAAACATTTCTAATTGAATACTTTTCTTTTTCGCTTCCACATTTTTTGGTGACACGATTCGACTCGTCGGTTATTGCAGCGATGCTTCGGCTAAAGGAGTCTGGACTTGTTAGATTCTCGAGTTTCAAGCATACTGTTCAATAGCTCCATTTCACAACCCCTTGACTTCAAACGATGAGTCTGTTATCATAAGAGACATATGCATAGCCACTTATTCATAAGCTTTCATTAGTTAATGGATTACTAATCTTGTTAATATAAACAATGACTAATGTGTCTGATGTTAACCACCATACGTCACAAGTTTTTAATGATTCATTTGTTACTGTTCGCTTTGAAATATGGTCAACAGCATTACACGTATGAAGCATCATTCATTATCAAGGGGTTAATAAAAGAACAGAGGCTTTGAAACTCTAGAATCCAGGCTCTGGAGCAGCGAGTGTTCTAAACATGGCAAACATAATTAGCAGCTAATTGTTTCAGACAGAAAATTCAAACGCTGTGACACGTATTGGATGATTAGTCCTCCCTGGCATTGGACAGTTTGTTAAAACAAGCTTACGGTCATCAGAGAATTACTGATCCTCGCAGCTCCTCTGAATAGGACATAATATAGACACTGGTTATGAAACAGCTCATTCATAAGAAACGATAGATTCGTTCTAGATCGTATCTGGTTGAACTGCTGGCTCCCAGAATAAGTCGTACTAGTTGGAGACCGGTTGAAAGGGGAATATAGGCTCATGCGAAATTCGGTGTTGCTGACAAGCAGAGTAGCTCCTGTCGATCATCTCCTGTTGGCATTGCCAGCCACTACAGCTTTCATTATACAAGCCAGTGTGTCGGTACACCGATTAATCACTTAGCAAGAACCGACACAAAATCCTTATCTCATTGGAATTTGGAAATCATCGCTGGCAATTGTTATAGAGAGAGAGATCTTTTATTTTGAAGAAATGTAGGGGATACTTACCATCTATTAGAACTTCATACGCCTCAGAGATCTCTTTGAATCTCTTGTTCGCTTCTTCCAGATTCTCAGGATTCTTGTCTGGGTGCCATTTTAGTGCCAATTTTCTGTATCTGTAAAGCCACAGGGAATGTGATCATAATTCTTTATCTTGTACACTGAATCTTTATGGATTAAGGAGAATGGAATACTAACGCCTTTTTTATGTCCCCGCTCGAGGCGGTTCGCTGAACCTCCAATATTTTGTAATAGTCGACCATCGTTCACTGTCTTCGCGCTTGGATGTCAGGGCTTAGGCAACCACCTGTCGAACAATGCGTGAACGGTTATCGTGATTAGCAGGTCAATTGGCAACAACGCTGCTACAAGAAGGAGGGTCAATGGGTTAGGAACGCAGGAAAAAACAGCTATCCCAGTTTCATTTGTCTGACAAGCCAACTGGTGTAACTGTTCCATTGATTTGCCCGGGTCATCTTTGCTTCTTTAAATGGAAGAATCCTTTGTTCAGGATAATATAATGGCTTACAAAGCTTTTCTACAGAATCTATTGTTTCAGGTAAAGCTGAGAAGTAAAATTGTGCTCCTCTGTTTTAATTATGAATTGTGGATGCAGACAGTTGAAAGGTTACGTACAATTCAGTTGGAGAAAGCATTTATAAGTCTACGGAGGAGGGGTTTCATCGCTTGGAGTGCTGATTTCTATTGAAGCAATCTTCAAAGAGATTTCCAACCACCTGTTGCCCGACCAGACGTATCAAAAGCATCCAATCAACAGAAGCACGTTAAAAAGAGGCCACTCAAATTAATCTATCAGCTGAGAACCTGAAGGTGCAATCACACAGCTTATGAAATAATACTGAATTGCAACCAATTAACTGACTGACACTGTTGAATAGAAAAATTCATTATTTCCAATGAAACAGTGTTTCTTTCATTACTGAACTTTAAAATCAAATTATTCCTACCAGTAGTTGGTTACTAATGTCTAGACCAGGGGCCAAACTTTTTTGATCATTGACCCCTAAAAATTTGCTAATTCTCTTATCGACCTCCTCTATCTGTTTCTTAAATGATTTATTTTATTTTGCCAAAATCAAATTTTTACATAAATTAATGAGAAGGATGTGCTTGATGACGCTTGGCAAGATTACCATCAATTTATTTCTCTGCTTTGTTAAAATAGAATTAACATGACTGAAGCCAGATTCAACCATATACGAGTTTGGGAATGCAATTGAACAGCATTGATATTCATCGACCCCTAATTATATTACGTCGACCACTTTGATGATCCCTGGGGTCTAGACAAACAACAGTCTCTCTGAACGCGTCACAAACAATTCCATGAAATACAGAGCTACTAAAGAGTCAAGAAAACTCCTGTCTCTCACGTTGCAGGCATTTCAGAAGATTCTGCACCGCGTCCAACTGAATAACTGTCCAAAAACACGAGCGTTGGAGGGTCCAACAAACCCAGCCATGTACTTCATTCAGCTAACGAGCCTGCGGTCCAAGAATGCCGGCAAAAAATACGTGCCAACATTCCAAAATAGTTTTCTCGTACTATGTAGTATTCCAGTGTACAGGCAAATATATTCCTCGCCGAGTTAATTTTACGTGGCGGTCTTCGAAATAGCGACGCAGCGTTATATAAATGGCTCGCCGCTCTCTGGCTAGTACTCGCAGTTTGACCAGAAATTAATGAAAATCGAGCTGGCCAACACGTTTCTGTTATTAGCAGAAGATTTTACCAAGGCTTCTTCTGCCATTGGTTAATGCCACCCTTAAAAGTCACCCTTAGTTCACAGGAAGCTATTAAAAAGCGACGAATGACTAATCATCCATAGGACATCACCAGTAAATAACAACAGTACTTTCTATTCACACTGAACAATTAAATAGCAATTAGTGGATAAACAACTGTGTCACCTTAGGACAATGAAAGCGGAGCAGCAAAAACCAGTAATTCTTTAGAAAGAAACTTGCCCAGGCGTGAAAGCCTCATCGTCACCAGCTGCCTTCAAAGCGAAACTTCAACTTCACTCGATTCACTGAAGCTCACCAGTCACTCAGAGATTCGATCCCGTCGTCCAGCAACATTTTGCTTCTCTGATAGGTTTACCGAACGAATTTCAAACGCGTCTCGATGGGACCACTCATCCCGGAGGGATCGCCGCTATGGAAACGAACGGAGGCGAAAAGCACGAAGGTTGCGAATAACCGGTGGAAAAGCTGAGCTCAAAGTCAAAGACTGGACTAACGAACACGCTAAAGTTAGCCGAGACGTGTATCGAAAATAGTTCGAAACACGGAGGTGGAGGTCATTACGTTATCCCACCTCGGCTTCTATGTCTCTCCCTCCACTTTGCTAGGTGCTAAGAAGCGGATTGACTCGGTCCCACTTGCATCCTGCTCGTTACATTTCATCTATACATGAGTACAGAGTACACTGAATCATCCAAACGAAAACAATCTGTCAAATCATTTCTCTTAACGCCAGATGCAGATCCAAATACAGCTGCAAATGGAATGTGTTCCTTTCCTGAGAGAGATTTTCCGATGAATGGATTTCACTGATTCTAGCTGTAGTTCAAACTGTGTTACTAGGTGAACAGGACTGTCCTCTAACGTTTCATGTCCATACGTGATACAGGAACACCACCTCCGCGATTAGGTCGAGGACGTTGGACTGGTGTCCTACACAGGTTCTTTCCTATCTCTACATCTACCTTAATGTTCAACTAATGGATTGGAAATGAAATTTTAAATTTAGGAGGAGAATTGTAGCAACGTTCCTTTGATAGTTTTCAAGAGTCAACTTCTGCCACTTTTCATTACTTCCAAGAAAGAAGACCTCTGTCTCATCAGGTGTCTCTTATAAAATACACAGTCATCTATGAAGCTTTGGAATCAGAATGATCAAGATGAAAACACCTTAGAAATGTTTCTAACAAAATTGGAAAGGTAAAAAGGAAAAGACAGATTCTCTGTCGGTATTGTCAAATTCGCCAAGTGGTGGGTGAAAAGTGAACCTTGCCAGTCCACGAATTAGGAAGCTTATCCTGTAGCTTATAATAAATCTGCTCGTTCATACGAGGATCGCGAAATACGTGAGTCACGCCGCTTTCGAAGGTGATTTTGGCCTGCCTACACGCTGAACAAGCGTCGCAGGTAAAACCGCGTGAACAGTCATCGCGACGTGGGTCGTCGTGGGCGTCTTTCCAACAGTACGCTACGAAACACCCTTCCCCACTTGGCTATTGTCCTTAGAAGATCAACCTGGCCTGACAATCTCATGAAAAGCTTCCTATCTATCAATCAAATGTTTTCAATTAATCCTTCAACGCTTATAAAATCGATACACGTTACTTGTTCGCTTAACCATTTTGAATTTTGCCGCCAAGAATTTAACACTAAATTCCCGGACAAATAGATCCGTCAAAATAGGTATAGGATTTTTGGAACTAGGGAATTAGTATTTCTATACATTTCATGATTCTATTAAAAACCAACATATGTTTTTAAAAAAATTATTTAGAGTCAAATTGGATTACTCCGGTAATCTAGTGTTAAATAACGCGCATGCGCCAATAGGCTCAACATCTACCGCGATAGTGCGCGCAATGGGTCAACTACATTTTATTATTTCTCGTGAGAAAGGTATCGATAGTATGTAAATTATTACAACATGAAGCTGTAAAACATTCCAGGTAATCATCTATTTATAATTTATATCAATACAAATATTCTGTTTGTTATTTTAGCAAGTTAATAATATCGAATGCATATATAGGTTAATGGTGCGCACCAAGCTCGAGTGCGCATGCGCATGCGCATATACAAATTCATAACGATCAGTGAAGAATTTTTCAAAATTTACAGCGAGGAAAGAATAATAATTAAAGAATCAAAATTAAATAATAAATAAAGAATAATTCATCGTTGGAGTAATATTATTCGTACTAGAATTTAATCATAAGATGCATATGTTCCTAGTGTAAAGGTTAGGGTGAGCAGGAACGTCTAAAACTTCATCCCCTGTTTTTGAAATATCCTGTAACTCTTTGTCAGAGAAATTTTCCGGTTTCAGACGACTATCAGGAGGTATGGACCAAGTGTCTAACGATCGAACGAACAACGCGAGGAACGTGGCTGGAAAACGGGTCTTCGATATTTAAAATTCACCACCGGCGCCTGTACACGAGAACTGGGACTCGGCTGGCTTACGTAACAGGCGATTCGAACGAATGTTTCGGATGCCTATTGTGTTCGTAACATGATCAGAGAACAGCAGCTGAGTCTTATCAATTGACGACTACCGGAGGATCCCGCCCTGCGAGTTCTATGACTCATCAACTTCAGGAAACTCGTTATCGCCAGACTAGGAATTAAAAACGCATTATAAAAAGACCCTAGCGGTTCCAGGAATTTTGATTTCTAATTACCATAACACAATCGCTTTACACGTTAACCTCAAAACTGAATCTCTAAACCTAATGGGAAATTCTTAGCCCAATGGGAGAATGTATTGTGCAAGGTATCAATTTTATAGAGAACGATGATCGTTAATAATCGCGTCGTACCAGTTTTGGTCTTGACATTCGTCCAAAGATAATCGTCGAAGACAAGAAACGTTTCGGGCACCGTTCCAAGAATGGAAGGATCGGATACACGTTGCTTTCGTTGCTTCAATCATACATATAAATTAGTATCTCACTTTTCTTAGCAGTGCAAGTAGGAAACAGGTGTCTTTAGAACATCGCGCGTTAATTATACTGTGAGAAGTTTCCACCTGGACCGAAGAGAAGGAGGTAATGAAAGAAGCAGAATTTGCAAACTGGATTTCCTTCTCAGATAAACGAAGAAAGGAAAACAGGATTTCTGAAGTAGATAATGTTCGCCATAGTGCTTTATATTCTTAATGCATTTTATAGGTACATTTTATCAAAAAAAAAAAATCTTAACATGTATACAGTAGATACCTTTAGCAGAAAGCAGACCCAGAAGATACTAACCCAGGAAACGCATCGCATTTTCCTTCCTTTATCCAAGCAAGGAATTATCGATCCACGGGCTATCTACAGATTAACCCTTTAACTGCGGGTGTGGTTTATAAACCAGATACTAAAATTATAGCCAGAGGCGGGTATATAAACAAAATGTTCATTTTTGATAATATCATATAGCGACTGTGGCTTATATACCACTAAAATAAAAATAAAGGAAACTAAAGTGAACTAGAGCGAGATTCGCCCTAGAGCCAACTCTTTTTTGGGCCATTTCCGGTCAGATCGAAAGTAGGAAAAAAAGATTTTTTTTGGCCATTCGTTGAGATTTTGACTCACTAAATACAATGACGCAAGAATATTTTTGATAACTCATAAAAGTGACAGGGAGTCTAAATGCTATAGGCCCCTTATCAAGATTTTTAATCTTAGAAACGGCTTGGCTAATAAAAAAGAAATCTTAAAATAAAATATCACTTCAGTAATATAATTTAAAATTAGAGCGATTGGCTGTGCTAAAAGTATCTGCGGTTAAAGGGTTAACCCGGAATATTTGCGTAGAAACGCGTCCTCGTGGAAGTGCGTGTCGGGAGCATCGTATCGCGAAGCGTGACACTTCCGTCGTTTTGCAAACGGCGATTTAGTCATGGAACACGATTTCGTTGAACCTGCGCCCATCGATTAAACGAAACCAAATACGGTCCCGGGCGACTTTCGAGGATACACCTGGCCGCGCTATCGATGCTTTATCTATTCTATCTCGGCTACGTTCGGTAATTTCACGAATCGAAGGACTTCGTTGATTGCGGGAAACGTATTCGAAAGTTTATCGGAATTATTGACCTAACCTAGCGGCGATGACTCGATACAGTCTGTTCAAAGTCAAGCAACCGCTCAAGGCCACCGTACCCAGCCGTAGAGCACAGCTATTGTGCCTATTAGTGACGTCACTATGCAAAAACTTAACTTTCTATATGTTTATGCCTTGTATTTTACTGGTCAGTATTTGAATCCCTTTTTGTCAGTATTTAAATCCTTTGGTCAGTATCCTTCCATACTGACTATTCGCTATTTATGTCCTAACCTAACTTTCTTTTACGTGATGGAAATCTTCGAAAGACACCACCCGCCTCCTGGGGAGGGGCTGGGGGTAGTGTGGGATTTTTACCCACTAAAACCACCTCGGTGGCCTGCACTGGAGCTAAAGGCAGAACCCCGGGACGTCAAACGAACACACCGGGACTCATGTACTAACCAAACCTAACCTAACCTTGTTTTTTGCGTGCTGCAAATCTTTGAAAGACACCACCTGCCTCCTAGGGAGGGGTTGGGGGTAGTGTGGGATTTTTCCTCACTAAAACCACCTCGGTGGCCTGCACTGGGGCTAAAGGGAGGGCCCCGGAACGTCTGACGAACACACCGGGAGCCATGTACTAACCTAACCTAACCTTGTTTTTTGCGTGATGGAAATCTTCGAAAGACACCCCCTGCCTCCTAGGGAGGGGTTGGGGGTAGTGTGGGATTTTTACCCACTAAAACCACCACGGTGGCCTGCACTGGGGCTAAAGGGGGGGCCCCGGAACGTCTGATGAACACATCAGGACCCATGTAATAACCTAACCTAACCGTTTAGTAATAAAATTGCCTAGTCTGCTTAAGCCCAGGGGCGGCCATGTCAGAATCTATGCTATTATTATTTAGAAGAGCCATGAAATATTATGGCTTGTATTTTACTGGTCAGTATTTTAATCCATTTTTGTCAGTATTTAAATATGAAGGGTCAATATTTAAATCCTTTGGTCAGTGTCCTTCCATAGTGACCATTCTCTATTTATGTACTAACCTAACCTAACCTAATCGTTTGGTATTTTTATACTGACCATTTTGGTAATCAAATACCGACCATTTAATTTGCTGCCATATTTTATAAACAATACACAGCCCCTGACTTTTAAGCGATCTGTGTTCGATACAGGGTTAATCATCCGAATGATTCAACAGGCTGCGATCTCGCTCGTTAGAACCGGTTTAATTTTCCTTCCTGCTAGGTAGGAATAATTGGAAGATTTAAACGTTACAATCTATCGAACACAGAATCAATGGGATTGTCGAGGAGGATGTAGCGGAACGTGGGCGATGCGACAGTCTTTAACAAATTAGTAGTAGAAGAGTGTAAATGAGCAATCCCACCTAATCTAGAACCAGTCCTGACTTTACTAACTCTATCCATATCAGAAGATCTACAACCAATTTACATTTCTTCTGGTGAAACTCCTTTGAGAAGAAACTGATCGCCTAACTGATGTTTACTTATGAGCAATGTACAATGGGTCAGATAAAAAAGTTGAAAAATTACCCTTCACTATTTTTCTTCAAGATTTCAACAAATAGTAATTTTTTAAAACGACGAAAGCACGTATCTTAGTAAATTAATTTGTATAGCTTCTCGAGAAACCTCAAGTCATTTGGTCCAATTTTAAACGAGGTATTCTGTTTCAAACGGTGGGCGAATAATTTTATGACACACTGTATGTACACTACAACAGGAAGGAAATAATTAAGAAACCTCCGAGGAAACTGATGCAATGTAATTATTACAGGCTCTATTTCCTGCGGTTTATCTCACAGGTAGTAAGAGTTTGATTAATTTTCCTCTTGGATAATTTCCTGGCGAGTAAAGTGTACCCGAAGAGTACGTAGAAAGTGAAATGAAACGATACGCTTCTTGTTTTTCCAGTGAAAATGCAGCGAAGCGTGAAAAACTCGAGAAAGAGAGAATTCTAAGATGAAGAGAAGCACACCGACGGGGCTTCCTTTTGCGCTATCCCGGCGAGGTGTGACGTCAGTTTTACATATTCGGGCAGCGCGAGCGACGTATCGAGGAAAAAGGATTTCTCGCGTGTCTCCTGATCTTGAGAGGCTGTTCTGTTCGTTTCAGCCAGAAGGACGACGATTTTTGCCCTCGACGCACGGCTATCCTTGCCTGTTTAAAATATCGCCAGGAATATTTCTTTTGTACTCGACGATCTCGAGGCAAAGAATATTCAATATCATTCTCGATCTTGATCATTTATCTACCAAGTAACTGAATATTTCTCTGATACCATGATACACAAATTTTTAATTTTTTTTTTTATTAAACAGATTGGAAGAGGGAACAAATTAAATGGTCAGTATTTTATTTCCAAAATGGTCAGTATGAAAATACTATACGGTTAGGTTAGGTTAGTACATAAATAGCGAATGGTCACTATGGAAGGATACTGACCAAAGGATTTAAATACTGACCAAGGGGGAATAAAATAATGGCCAGTGAAATACATGCCATTGGAAAATAGAGAAGTTCCATTTGAAACACTGATTCATTAATAGAGGAATTGCAGAAAGAGGAACCATCTATTTCTATGCCATCGATTTATCTTCGCATACTGCATAAATAAACGAAGGTATTACTGGCAACTTTGATATCAGTGCAACGTTGCATGATATTGTGTAATGTGGCTCATTAAAAATACCACTATATTCCTTTTTGCCCCGACACGTTAACCGCGCACTTTCCTGCACGCAGTGTTGGTTCTTTGAGAAGAGCGATACACGTAACACGTGTTGCGCTAGGTCGGGGCTAGAAAATGTCGGTTAAAAGGCCAATGAAAGGGTCTAGGACAGCTACGACGGCCACGGTTTAATTTTAGTTACATATTTTCAACGGTCCCTCCTCTCTGAACCCTTGGAATTTCATCAACGTACCAAGGAGTTAATACCCGACCTTCCAATCTTACGTCTGAATTTAACCTTTAAGGATTTTCCATTAAGTATAGTGCAATATCACAAACGACCAGTCTTGTAAACATTATTTGCATTGTAATGTTAAGAACCATCGAAAAATTAGCATTAAGAATCCACTTACAGTCTGCTCGAGTACAGCAATAATTGCATGACTAACCCGTGATTAATTCTAGAATGCTCAATAATATTTGGCAACAAATTAAATGGTTAGTATTTAAATCCATTTTCGGTCAGTACATAAATCAACTTTCGGTCAGCATAAAAATACTAAACGGTTAGATTAGGTTAGGTTAGTAAATAGAGAATGGTCACTATGGAAGGACACTGACCAAAGGAATTAAATACTGACCCTTCATACTTAAATCCTGACAGAAAGGGATTAAAATACTGACCAGTAAAATACAAGTCATAATAATACCATAGATTCTGACAGGGCCGGCCCTGAGCCTAAGCAGACTAGGCTACCGCCTAGGGTCTTCTAAGGTCCAGGGCCCTCATAAGACGATTTTGCAAGAATGCAAGAAGAGTAATATTAATCTAAATTAGTTATACAAGCTTCAATGTTAATTTTATAAATTTTATTTGAGCTACTTTTTTTTATGTCACATATGTGAAGGGGCCCTTTTTCAGAGCTGGCCTCGGACCCCCGAAATCTCAGGGCCGGCCCTGGATTCTGAAATAACAATTCATTGACCTTAAGAATGAATTACATGAAACATGTTTAATGAATCAGTTAGTTGCTCCACGGTTAACAATGTTAATTGTTCTTCAAGCACGACGATTATCAGAAACGCGAAGAGAAGAGAATCAGCTGTACCGTCCTCCCTCTCCCGTGCACGGAGAACCGAACTTAATATAGAAACATCACGAGTTACGCTGTTCGTTATTACAAACGTGCGACTGGTAATAAAGATACCTATAGCTATTGCAAAATCATTGTTCCCATTGATAGCGCCAGTCGCTGCTGCTAATCATTAAAACATGAGCCCCCGGCGTGCGAAATCGGCCAGGTGCCTGAAAACAAAGGGAACCTCTTATTGAGAAAAACCGAAGGTTAAGAGGATTCATAAGGTCCAGGTCCTTTTCGCCCTTATCTCTTCTGGGCGGTATGAGTCCCACACTGCCTGGGCCCCCTTAGCCGAATAGTGCGACAGGAGGAGTTGCCCGTGCGTACGTAAATGTATTTCCTCTCCCATAAACAAAAAACAAAAAAGGTCCTTTTCGCCTTCCTGACTAGCCCCACACCCTTGCAACACATCATTGTGTAAGTGAGCCTCGTGGGGCTAAAAGCCCGCTTTGCCGTTCCCAATTTTTCACTTATACCAACGGTATTAAAGGGCGCAATTGCGCTATAAGCCCCCCCCCCAAGCAGCCGCCACCCAACCAAGTGGCGCGTGGGGTTGGACAAATTCCCTCCTGGGCTGGCCAATCATCGTACGGGTACGGAAAAACCGAACACTTGACTCTTTGTCGGCGTGTAAGGAATTTTGGTCTAGGGACGAACAAGCTAATCTGAGTAGGTTAGAGACTACACCCACTAGGCGCCTAGCGCCCATACACCCTTGAAACAGCTGTATATTGAAACTGGAAGTCACGTGACCAGGAAAATGCCGTTAGCAAGTTTCAATTTCAGCCGTTGCTTCCTTGCAAGCAGCGCCATAATATATTACCGGCAACATCGTGTCACTTGAACGATGATTTATACGCTACAAACGCGGAGAAACGATCGCTATTAATTTTCTCTTGATTCATGTTCAATATAAAGACACAATGGAAGGTGAAGAACGATCCTTCCATTGACACAATGGAAAATTTGAATTCCCCAAGGATGACTGTAATTACAGTGTGTCGACGAACGAATCCGTTCAAATTATCGAACCGTTGTTAATCGAGAATCATTGATTCGTGTCACTGCATTTGATTGAATTTTAACTGCTCGAGCATTCGAATTCAAATGCATCAGTTTCCAGCCAGTAAACTTAACAAGAAACTGTACATATTTAGTTAAGAATATATGCCACATGCCAATAGTTGACAACTGTGAAATCATAGAGGAATTTTCCTATTTGGAATGATATAGCTGTGTACGGATGACACAGAATGGTATGCCTTCTGATATAGAGCAGGGAAATATATATATAATGTGCAATATAGAAACTGAGGTGTTTGACCTGGCTTTAAAATAGCATTGCAAGTGCAATGTCGTGCTAAGATTCAGAGAAATACAACAATAAAGCACTTTGATGGGACGTACAATGTCTGACAGCAAGGGAAATTCAAGGAATTCATTTATCTGCACATGTATTCTAACATATGCTCAACGGCAACATAACCTATCATTTTTAAGATGAATTTATAACAACGCAATTCGTATGAAAATTAAACGTATAATTTCTCTGGAACATAACAGAAGAAAGTAATGACATCTAGAAGAGAATGAGAACCATGAACCACCATATCTTAAACTATAACCTATTTGTATGACATTTAACGTTGCGCATATGAATTTTTGTAATGGTATATTCCAATTGTGCAAACAGTTTGTGATTAAACTGGTAAGAATCCGATAAATAAACGGCGGTGAATGTGCCAAACTGATAATGATAATTATAGGAAACTTACATGGACGGTTCTCGTTCGAGCATGCTTGAGCTTTCAGAATCGAAACGTTGTTCGAGAAAATCGTTATCGACGTGGGAAAAGTCGAAAAGCTCGTTAAACCGGTTACCAAGGATTCAAATGATTCGTGTTTTCAAACGTAACGCACAAAGTTGTCCATTAGGAAATTTTTTACGCGTATTAAATTTTCTTGATAATGATTCAACGGTTGTTGCGCGCTTATCTTTTATCTAGTAACAGTGAGCTACGATACGGGCATTATCGATTGGAAATGACACGAGTTACTTTTTTTTACAGAAGAACTATCAGAATGTGAAAAGATGATCACTTACGTTGGTACACGACGGTAAACGTTTCCGAGCTAGGAAAAATGCGTTGTCATAAGGCGTGAGAAAGGATATGGATTGAAAAAGTATGGGATGGCGCAATGTAGATGGAAAAACGATAGTGGGCAACGTGTTGTTCTCGAAATTTTCAAGCGGAACCTATCTCCCGACGTTGCAACGGTTCCCCTTCGGACGACGTAGTTCGGTGGTGGTAACTGGTGAATTTTCACGAATAAACAGAATATCCGCATACTCACCGAGAAGTGGCTCCTGCTTCTTCCACGCCAGTCACAACTCAGCGATCAATTTTTTCCACAGAGAAGCGAATAATTGTTTTCCTTTCGACGGAGGACAGACACACAGTGGACAACAAGCGACAATCTCGCGAAAAAGTAGAGAAATGCAACTATCGCCTGAAGTTGGCGCAAACAACGGTCGATATTCAATATGGCCGCCGTTTCGATTTTTCTAGAGCACGTTACGTACCCGCTTCGATACTCGTCACCTTCTACCTCATTTTATTGATTTGATAATTAAATTTCAACGTTTACGATTCTATGAAAATCATGAAGAGGATTTTTCTTAAAAACATGACAGAATGTTGAATGACAACAGCAGGATGTTCGAGTTTTCTCACATAATGGTTCGTATTTCTATTTATTTCAGGTTAGGAAAATTTAAACGTTATTTCTACAAAATTAATATAAATTACGTATATTTTTAATAAAATATTAATTAACATAGTATTTTCTTGGAGAAATTTAACATAAACGTATAAAATACAAATTTAAATAATTAGTTGAAATTAAAAGAGCTATTTGCTACAGTTATAATTAAAAGGAAATCGTCTATAATATGTACGATAAATCAATTTTATTATAGAAAAAGCAACAATTATTCGTAGAAATCAAAAATCGCGCTTGCTTGCCAGCGACACCTATCAGAACAATGATAAACAAGGTTGCTGTTTTACCTATAGCTTCAATTAAATGTCTCGAATGAACGAGGATCGTTTCAACCTATAATCTTTTTAATTCTAAATTATTCTTATCAACCGGCAAGCTTTGAAATGAAGGTTGGAATGATTGATAATAAACGGCGCCACAAATTTACTTTCGATGGCGCCACGATTCACATTTATTTAAACAACTGCTCATTATTATAAACTTAAACCCAATTAAATTTCATATTTCAGGATGCACAAATGTGAAAAACTTTTCAAATACGATGGAAAACACGAAATGTCCCGAAGTAAAATTTCGAATCTTGCCCAATTACGCGCCGTCGGGCCTCCGCGGTGCCACCAATCAGCGGCCGCGAGAGGTATCGGTGGCGCCACCAATCAGCAACTGCGGGAGACATGATGGCCGCTGAGATGGCGCTAGCTGATTGGTCGACGCGCAGTAGCATGGCAGCTTCCGTTCTGCAAAGTGTTTTCAAAGAGCAGGTGAGCGTTTCGTAGAGAGCGTCGCGACTCGTTGGACGTATCGACGGTGAAAAATCTTATTCCAGTGTTGTGACCCGGTGTGTGGCTGTGCGTGTGAGAGTGCGTCGAACATCACCGTTCGATTTCAGCCGGAAAAAGAAGAATCTCATTTTTTTTCCACTCGGTGTGAACTCGTGCAGGAACGATCGAGGTAAACTTCCTGCTGGGAATGTTGATGGACTCGCTTCTCGTTCAAGCATCCTGCCAAGAGGTGGGTAAGTTTTGTCGATCTTCTCGCCTCGTTACACGCCGTACCGCGTGCGTCGCTTCGTAACGGTCGTTTTTCAAACGGCTCGTAAATCCGGCCTGTGTCCGGAATTCTTTTACCTTAACGGCTTCGAACGACCGCCGCGGTTCTCTTCGAGTCCCGCTGCAAAGGACGAAAGCGGTACTGGCCGAGTGACATCTGCATCGGGTTGGACGTATCCACGAATGGCGGTGCTAATATCGATCCTGAAGTCTCCGCCGCGAGGCTGTCTCGCTTTCGAGGTCACCGGGACTTCAGTCGCAACCCTCACTCTCGATTTCTATATCTTTGTCCACGATTTTCCTTCACCGTCATTTACACACCCTTTTCTTCCCCTCCACGATGCCACTGGACGATAACCGGTAATGATTGCTAACATCCTGTCTCGTTATGGGAATAGGAAATAGCGATGAGTAAGGAATGTAAACCGTAACACTTGGAACTTAAAGCTGAGTACACATTCATCATTGTTTGAATTCCAACAGCCACCCCAGTGTTTGCACGGTATACAGTATATGTACAGTTCACTTGGAAAAATTGTGGCTTACATAGAATTATTTCAAATGGGATTTTATTGTAAGCGCAGGAAGAATTGTCTTCGGTAGAACTTTCGCTAGTTCCAAAGTTCCTTTTAGGCCTCTAGTGCCCTTTATACCGCAGTACGGTCCTCGACGGGGGAAGCCTTGGGGAAGAGGTTTACTGGTACAGTGACCTGGGTATATTGGAATTTTGGCGCATAGCTTACATAAGCGATCACGGAAATTGTCGAAAGTATGTCCTATTTACTGAGACGCAGGGACGAGCGTGGGGAATGCAGGCGTTCGATTCGAATCGTACAATATAATGCTTAACATCAACCTTGACCGTGGTGTTAATCCTTCCGTGACCGTTAAGCATCCTGTGTCGTAATTTTGAATGCCATTTCATGGAAGTAGGGAAGAAAGTTTATTCAATCGTTTCACTACCAGTGAGAGATACCTCTCTTTTATATTTAATTTATTTTTTTCAAATTTAATTTATTTATATTAACTAAATTTATTAGTTAATAGTAGCTAAAAGGCAATAACTAATTAAAAAAAGAAAATTTAGTTAATAAATTAAGTTAATATTAGCTAATAAAATTTAGTTAGTAAATTAATTTAATATTAGAAAAAAAAAATTTAGTTAATAAATTAAGTTAATATTAGCTAACAATATTACTTAATATTAGCTAATATTTTTTTTTTTTAATAATTATTGCCTTTGAGATCATTGGTCCCTTCATTGCGAGAGAGAAATACTTTGGAAATGTACTTCCACTGTTAAAGTCTCTAATTACTGAATAACGTCAGAGGAAAAACAATATCTTGGTTGCAACACTGGTCCGTGTTTTATCCCGCATCTTTTTTCCGCTGAGCGACGTCGACGGTTGTTATTTATTATTTTCTATCCGTGTCCATTAATCGGTTCGGTTATTAAATCCCGGCGATGCTTTCTTATCAAGTGTCCCCGATTTTGTAACCCTTTTATCAACCATAAACAACGTCAGTTGTGATGAAACTAGAGAATTGATGCATCTACTGCGTTCATTAATTTTAATCACAAACGGAATATTTATTTAAAGGTTATGGAAGAGGAAGGAGTGAGAGTGAGGAATGATTGACGAAAAGAAAAATTGATTTTCCCTGAGTGCAAGAGAGTCGGGAACTTTAAGCTTGAATCTCTAAAAAGTCGACCAAAGAAGGTTAGAGACGCATTATTTCGCAAGCGATTTTAAACTTGACCTTCGGTCGTTTTTCTTTCTACAAGTAGATATTTCAAGACAGTCATTTTGAAACTTGCAACTAAGTATGAATAATCTTATGACGTTAAATGATAAGAAGGAAGAATCGATAAGAAAGAATAATTGTAATATCAGCTTTAGGTTAGATTAGGCTTATTTTTTAAATTCGTATGCTGTTTTTTTATTTTGTACTTAAGAAGCTTATTATTCAGTGATATTAACCAGTAATGATAAATATAGCGTTCAATTAAACAAGCAGTGTTTTTGAAAATAGTATTTTTCTCGATGTCGAAATCTATGTTGCTGTTTGTAAGCGATTACGATTATTTCGGCACTGATTTAATGCTTTTGTATCACACTTCACGATAAACATAGCAGACAATCGAGAAACCAACAAATCAATCTCGTCAATAGTCTCTCGTTTCACCACTCGAATTTCTGCCTTTCAAATTCACCGGTCATTTCATCAAGATAAAAGCACCGAATAATTGCCTTTCAAATCCCTTTCTGCAAATTGAACGTGAATATTTTTATAAATTTTATATAATGTAACGTATAAACTGCACTTTACTATACAGGTTTAGGTTATGTTTTAGAAATCAATATTTGCCAATATTTCTTTTTCCAGTTATGCATTTTATTTCAGAATTTATAACTTTATAATCTAACCTTACAATTTTCAATTTCTACAGTTTTCATTTGCATGACTTATAACGATATTATCGGTTTTTCTTTTAATTGTATTAGTTTCCTAGAAGTTTATTTATCGCTTCTCGAAGAGCGTCCCGAAGGAAAATGGCGCTGCAGACCATCGGGCCCCAAATATATAGAGGTCCGTGGTCCGCCATCATTTGGGTGTAAATTTTTCCGCGGGAAAATTTGAATTTGTTATTCGTTCTTTTTCGATATATAGAAATTTTATCAATTAAAATTTACATTAACCTTTTTCTAAATTACTTTTAATATTAATATCTTCAAAATTAAGACATTTGAGAATTTCTGCTTCCCGTATTTCATTTTCCCTCGGGAAGCCTATCGTTCTCCGTGTTGTACGTGTATCGGATACGTTGTTGCGTCGAATGCACCGCATCGGCGCACTGGTTTTCTGCGCAAGTCGAAATTGTTTTTATTTTCCGTCTCTTATTCTCTCTATACAATCATTCACAATAAATAATGATTTATATAATTTCCTTTTATCGGATAACCTTCGGTCGATTTCATTCCTACCGGCGTTTTAGCGATATATCGATTTGCATTTTTACCGGTAGCGCCACGTGATCGATATTACCAAACTCCCGATAATCGAAGAGTTATGCAACATCGATCGATTGTCTGGAAATTGCGATAAGAAACTCTTTTGAATTCCAGTAATCTGGAACGATTGTAGGATAAGAAAATGAAACGACTAGATTTCTCAGCGATATCGTAATTAATTTTATCGACGAATATAATAATCATTTATCCGATGAGATTGCGAGTCAATAGCCTCTAGAAACTTGCGAAACACGTGTATCTTACTAGAGCAGCCGAAAATACTGCGACGCGATTTTCAGGCCGTTCTAATTCCGAGTTTCTACCTCCGCCATAAATTTGCCTCTAACGTCGCGTAAAGGCTTCTAACAAAAAAATTCCTCTCTGTTAGAATAGAAAAAAAAGCCAACGTTTCTGCAGAGAATTATTTCCGTCTAACGTTTTTGTACGTATCAGCAAAGCGCAGACAGAATTCTTCATCTCTGTTGGACGATACACAACAGTGATTTGATGGCCAAGAAATACTGAATCCTTGCAGCTCCACAGAGGATCGATCGTTTGAATTTTAAATGGTAAAAGATAGCGTGTATATCTGCTTCCATTTCTGACGTCATTGCATAGGATCATTTATTTTCGATCAGGGCCGGCCCTAGGCCTAGGTAGACTAGGCGGCCCCTTAGGGCCCCCCAAGGTCCAGGGCTCCCATAAGACGATTTTGCAAGAATGCAAGAAGAATAATATTAATCTAAATTAGTTATGCAAGCTTTAATGTTAATTTTATAAATTTTATTTGAGGTACTTTTTTTTGTGACGGGGCCCTATTTTGGAGCTCAGGGCCGGCCCTGTTGAAAGGCCATATTGCAATTATTCTAAATCTAAAATTGCAATTATTAATAATGTTTTGAAAAGCAGGGCCGGCCCTGGGCCTAGGCAGATTAGGCGCCCCTTAGGGCCCCCCAACGATTTTGCAAGAATGCAAGAAAAGTAATATTAATCTAAATTAGTTATGCAAGCTTTAATGTTAATTTTATAAATTTTATTTGAGGTACTTTTTTTGTGAAGGGACCCTATTTTGGAACCCGCCTCGGACCCCGAAATCTCAGGGCCGGCCCTGTTGAAAGGACATATTGCAATTATTCTAAATCTAAAATTGCAATTATTAATAATGCTTTGAAAAGCAGGGCCGGCCTTGGGCCTAGGCAGATTAGGCGCCCCTTAGGGCCCCCCAACGATTTTGCAAGAATGCAAGAAAAGTAATATTAATCTAAATTAGTTCTGCAAGTTTAATGTTAATTTTATAAATTTTAAAGAAAAAGGGGCCCTTTTTCGGATCCCCGAAATTTCAGGACCGCCCCTGTTTTCAATCAATTTTTAATTCATAAATTTTTATTTCAGAATCTCTGCTTCTAACCACACGTGTCTTATTTTTATACGAACCGCCGATTTGTTAGTTTAGAAAAATTTTCTGCCGTTTTTAAGTATCAACTTCCCCGAAACGCATGGAATGTGTTAACACATATAGAAAATCGATGATCCGTTTATTTTTTTTTTCAAACGAAGACACTCGAAGATACAGTGCGTTCAGCGGAATCGCGCGGTAAAGCCATTTTGCTTTTTTATTCTCGTCAGAGTTTGCTCGACGGTTGACCTGGAAACTAGGGAAGCGTTATAATTTTTTTAAAATGCTATGCCACGTATTTTCCATCGAGCCTCTGCTCGAACAATGTTTTCCCTTGTTCTTGTAATCCTCGAACGCAAGCTTTAGCGAGATTCATCCTCAGCGATTCGGCTCCTGTTCCCTTCGCATTGACCCAATTTCTGTGTCGCACACGCGAGGCCTGGATACGGGTATTATTATCCCAGCCCACTGTAAATCCATTCGATTCAGCCTCTGCCTACCTCTTCGATTATTTATTTTATTTTATCTCATCCGGGTATGCTTACCTGTTAGTTCG